AGGAGCGTCGCTCTTCGTCGTGCCCATCGAATCCCGGTGACGTGTTCCTGGGCTCTCTCCCGGAATTTTCTTCCCGTTAAACCCGACTGACCGAATGTCGCCATTTGTCATCGCGAAGTCGCCGACGTCCAATTTCGTCCTGGCCATCTTCCCATCTCGTGGCGACACCGGTGCTCCTTCCCACGGGCACCCTGAGGAGGACGCTTCCCTGGGGGAAGAAACCGTCCGAGAATTCGAAACAAAAACAGGACCTGAAATCCTACCTCTGGAATACCGACTAACAACTTCGTTAATTTCTGCAATTCCAGTAGCCGTGATTATACGGTCAACATTTGGCGAGGTATAACTCTTTCTTGCGAAAGAATAAATAAATCATAAATGTAACGTAGAACTCGACGCAAAAGTAATTCTGGTTTTTATTTAAGCTCGACGATTAAAGACCGCACTTACTTTTGCACCGTTTTCGTTCTGGAACACCCTCACCCCCCTCCTGGCATTCATGAACATATCCCTAAAATCCCTGAAACTCTTCGGCAATTCCCTAAAGGCTCTCTGAATTTTCCAAAAATTCCCCAGATTTTTTACTGCAGTTTTCCCGGTCACTGTTCGTCGCGATTTGCGGGAGATATTGTACCCGTTCTTTCACAGGGCTATTACTCGTCGACTGTGCAATGAAATAGGCGGTCATATCGACGGGGAAGTGCTCGATGATAGTTCATGATTCGAGGGATGATGATATAGGCTCTTTGGTCCTCTCGGCAACATCCATAGCGATCTCGGCTGAGCCCTCGTTACGGCCTTTGCGAGCTTAATTTCGAAGCCCGATATATCGCGACAGCTCTCCAGTCTCGTCCTCTCATTCGAAATTCCTCGAAACTCGACTGGGATGCTGCATTTTCCCCAGAAATCCCGGCATTTCCCTATACAACCTTCCGTATCGACGTTTAGCTCTCCCTGATACGTGGCGGCCGCCATCGGTCACAGGGAAATTTATCCTCTCGCGAACGTACCTCGGGAAATATTTCATGTGTCTGTTCCCCTTCTGTCAAAGTTTCCGTAAAAAAAAAACGGAGAAAAAAGAAACGATATCGGCACGTTTCAAGCCCCCGCGTATACCGCAAAATTCACTGATAATACGTATTTCGAAATTTTCCGCCTCTAAAATTTCGCAAGTTCCCAATCTGCCTTTCTGTAACAATTGACGCGGACATTTGGAAAAATCATGGAAAGTAATGATTTTCCCGAATATAACGAATGTTGAAATTATTCACGATGAGGATTGCTTGGAAAATCGAGCCGAAAGAGAAACGCCATTACGTCGACTTTTTACAATGTCCGAAAATTTAATCAGTGCAATTAGGTGTGAGAAGGAAATATATCGCGGATTAAATGGAAGTTTGAAGGAAATTCTCGGTGACGAAGCTCGAAAAGCGTATTCCAGAGGAAAAGGAGAGAAAAACGCTGTGGGGGAAATTTTTCCTCGATGCGGGAAATCTCTCCGAGATGCACTTCGAGTCTTTTCCGAGCTCGCAATTTTTTCCGGGGTTTTGGAAAAAGGTGGAAAAAAGGAATTTGGGATTTATACTCTGAAGAGAGCAGAGAGAGGATTTATTCCTTGGCGAGTTCGCGTGCGTATCTTCCGTGGGATGCTGGCCGATGATTTTCCGCAGGCCGGGATTCGGCTCGAGGTTTTTCCTGAAATTTTCACACGGGAACGGAAGTCGCGCGAGAGGATGTCTTCAGGGTTCTGCACGCCTCGATGGCGGGATCTTCGAAAGCAGGCTGAAGAAAGTTTTCCCCGGAAGTTCGCCAGGAAAACTGGCTCGAACTCTAACGAAGGCTGTCGTGTATCTCGAGTGAAAAGAAAGAAGACCTCGTCGAGATCTTCCAAAAGGAGGGCAGGAAAAATTCTGAGCCTCGTTAAGCATAGAAAAATGACGAACGATCCGACGTGGAAAATAAGTCACCGTTTCTTCCAGTTTTCCATTTAATTTCCCGATAAAATAAAATACCGCCCTTACGTCGATTATTTAATTCCAGAGAATACATCAGTCGATGAACAAACATATTAGGTAAAAGATTCCAAAATATCTCTAAGATTTAACGTGATCGCGTTAAAATCTCACGGGATATTCTAACAGTACCGGAGAATTATTCTGTGACTTCGAAGAACAATTACTTCATTGAAATAAATTCCAATAAATTGGATGCAATATTTTTTTTTACTTTATTTCAGGGAAACAATTCATCCTGGAATTGGCAATAGGTTTCGTTCAATGAAATTTCTTTCAGAGTACATGAAGTAACTTTAGAATGCGATCGAGGAAGCGAAACATGGATTGGGTCAGGGAAATATTTCTCGGCGCGATTCGTATATTTCTCCCTTGTTGCCTGCTTTTATTTTCGGGAAAGTTAAACGCGGCCGGCTATAAACCCGGCCTCGAGGACGAGTTTACACCCTGAAGAGGAACCCCGCGAAAAACGTGCCGACGCCCTCGCGGCGTTACGGGCTTTCACACGGCAAGGTACAAAAGAGAGGAGGGCCCCGTTAAGGGCCCGGAAAGCCCACCTAAGCAACGACCTAAGGGCACAATTCCGGGAGCCTCCATTACCGGAGTTTATCGCTCGCGAGATTACTAAAACGGAGAAACGAGCGACGTGGAGGCGATGCGCGATTGCCCTGAAGAGCTGAGAAGAGGTCGACGGCCTTCCTGGCCCTTTAAGAATGACATGAAAGCCGCTGAGAAATTAAATCCAGGTCGATAAACTAAAATTCATCTATACCCTTTTCGGTGGGAACGTCATTTCGAATACAGAAAATGGTAACATAAGCTGGCGCGTCCCGTCACCGACATTTATGTTTATGTTCAAGTCTTTTACAGTCTACGTTGAGAATTAATTCCCTCTTGGATTTTGCACCTTGTCACGGTAGTTGAATTTTCCCGTAGCGGAGGAAAAGACTGAGATTCTTATTGAACTTCGAAATTGATCGACCTGCCACGGAGAGATGGATCGAGGTGGGAATTGAATTTTCTTTCTTGAAAATTGTAGAAAACCGGTGAATTTTCTATTCCCTCCTAATTCGCTCTTGAATTTTCCACCGCGTCGCAGTGGTTGAAATTTCCATCGTGAGGGAGGTTTTGATTCGAACTCGAATTTCGGTCCTCGGTCCGCCTCGAAGAGATGGGACGACGCAGAAATTGAATTTTCCCCAGGTCTCGTAAAAAGTAAGGATTCTCCCCTCGCAGTTTCGACGAGGAAGACCCCGCCGGGAGGTCCCGATAGGGAAGGCGCAAATATTTCCGAGGAAAGCGGCGCAAAAAGAAAATTCCCCGTTTACGCGACACAAACATCTATTTTATTTCCACCTGCGCCGGTACATTGTCTCCCAAGTAACTAGGAAAAAAGAAAATCATGAAACTTCTTAGCGTCGATATAAAACATAATTATGACTTGAATGAAACACGATACATTGATGAAATATGCATACATAAAAATTCCTCCTTACTCAGGATACGTCAATTTCTTCGGGATTTAAAAACGATATCGTAGATTCGTGATAATTAAACTATCGTGCAAGGATTATTTTTTATCAACCAGCCTAATCTAGAAATCTTGTAAATACCGCATCGGTTGTTCCTGATTTTTTGGTTGATACGGTCAGATCGTTATTAATTTTTAATTTACATTTTTTAGTGGATGTCGCTACGGTACACGAAGTCTATTGAAGACCGATTAACATTACAGGGGCTAACGAAGTTTCACTTCCGAAGCATTATAAATTATATCTTTGTCCGCCTCCATTATATTCACCCTTAGAATTGAGAATATTCGACATTTCCCGAGATATGAATTTTTTAAGAGAATTCCCTGAACTCGTTTCGAAGAAGGGGGTCCCAGGGGGCGGTAACGAGCGATCGGGGGTCGTTAACTGATCGTCCGTTTCATTGTCTTTTAGCCGATAATTTCCCGGCTCGGGTCCACCGACTCCCGCGAACTCGTTTCCTCGATTAATGGACTCGGTGAGAGTTTTCGAAAAGACGTCACATTAAATCAACGTGGACCTTCCCGGGAGCCGACGGGAAAGATGGCTCCGAAAATGAGACAGTCGAAGAAAAACGAGGGGCCTTGAAGAGCCATTAATTATCCCGGAAGAAGCATCGATGAGGACCGCATAAATGGAACCATCGGCGCCCCGGTTCCCGGTAAAATGCGATTTTTCACCCCCCCAGTGCATTTTGGAAAATAACCTTTCCTACAAGAAGTGCTCAATACTTCACCCCGAGAAACTTTTATGGAAGACATTTGTCCCTGCCACCCTCGGGGAAAATAATTCACGGTAATAATGCGACATTTCCCAGCTGAAAACCGTCCAGGAATAGAACTTGGGAATTTTCTACGGGTAGAAAAAAAAATCATAGACAATTACAAGTTAACCTGGATGACATTTGCTTTATCGTGACAAATCTGAAAGTCGCGGCCGGGAATGAAAAAAAAATCCACGCACAGCCCCGACAAAGTGATAATTAATTCAGGGGCGATATGTGACATAGGCCACTTGTTAACATCAAATAAACGTGTTCCCTGCCGGATGCAGCGACCTCCACAAAGCCCCGGAAGCTCCGCAGCATCCGCGGGGGGTGCGTTTAAGCGCGGCTGGAATAAAATTCAGATAAACCGGGGATTAAGCCCACTTCCGGTCCCGGATAAGGGAGGAGCTAACGATTCGCCCTAAATGTCCCGAGGAGGGGTATGGCTCCATTGTGCGGTCCTTTGCCAGACATCCACCCTTTAGTCCCTCGGGAATAAATTACGACATTGTCGGCGACCCCTTCCCTCCCCCGCCGGTGTAAACGGAGTCTCCGCAGACTCGCTTTGAAATTTTTATCGGCCACCCCCCGAACGGTCCTTCACCGGCGAAATGGAACAGAAAGGAGGAATTTACGAGCGCGATTCGCGACCGGACGCGAGGCAGTCGATAAACGGCGAAATAGCCGAAGATGAAGAGGAACCTGAAGAAGGTCTTCGAGGGTGGTCCTGGATGGGCCGGTGATAAAAATCTGGGAAAGAAGAGATTTCCGCGGGTTAATGCAGTTCCACCTGTTTTTTCCCCATCCTTTTTTCTTCAATTCAATTTTCTTCTCGAAATGTCTTCAATTAATCACGCCCTAAATGACCGGTACCAAGTGGGTGATTGCATTCCGTGAAATCATTGAGAATGACGAATGTCTTAAATCATTTAAAATCGACCCTCGTATGCAAAGGTAGTCGCATGTATGCCGATTATAGTTACCGCTCGTAAGAAAAGGGTTAAAGGGACGAAAAGGGGTCTTGGGACGATTTTCAGGATCGCATAGGGATTGTCCGAGCTTTACAGTGCTCGGGACCCTCGGAATCCCTGGGTCATGGACGAGAGCCTCGCATTGGCCGAAGGCACCTGTGTCCGTATTCCTTGGCTCGGGTTTCCCTTAATTTATGCGCGGTAAATCGCAGGGTTTAGTGCAAAAGGTGTACAATAGGTACACGGTGTGTCGCGGTGTTCCCGTCTCCTGCACGAAGGCCTTAAATTCCCGGTACACATCCTGCACACCCCCTCCGGCGAGACGGGAAATTGGAAAATAAATAACAACAGGGGAGGCGAGAATCGAAGTCAAAATCCCCCCCGGGGGGTGGGAACGGGGTAGGAAAATTGCGCGGCAAGGGGACGTAATTTCGAATCGCCGACTGCCGTCTTCGGGAATTACGAGCAACCCTTTCGCGACCTCCCCTCGAGCCTGCCACTCGGGTAAGATAGGGGAGGAAGTAGTACGAACAGAGTTAGGGTGGCCTCGTTACGACGCCGTACCAAGTGACAAGAGTTATCATCGTGTCGAGCAGCGCCGGCTTTGGCGGCTTGGCGTCGGGCACGTCGTACTTACAATTAGCCTCGCCATCTTGAAAAAAATCCTGCAACCTTGCCGAATAAATCTACCCTCAGGGATGTTTAATCGATAGAAATGACGAAAGAGTGGAAATTTCCTCGTATACGTACGCCTGCAGACGACGTACTTACCATTAGCGCCGCCATCTTGAAAAAGCTCCTCCGGCCTTGCCGAATAAATCGACTCTCAGGAATGATTAATGCTCTTTTGTACGAACAATATGTTTCGACGTATTGTTCCACGTATAATGTAATAAAAAATAACTCCGTACGTGATACAATTATAATTAATAGATATTCCCACGTGGGCGATCGAATCCCTGCACCGTGGTTTTCCTCGGGGTAGGCCAGCAGCTCGACCTTCGGGCCGAGCGATGAATCTTTACGAGCTTTCCGCGAATACTCGCGATCGATTCCAGACGGTTCCGACACCGGTGCAGAAGTGCAACCCTTGCACCCTGTCCCGCGGCCCCAGGGCGATACAGGGCTGGGCGATCTGCATAAATCAACGGCGCCGTCTCGATGCATTTCCACCCCTAGCGCCCCTGCGCGCACCTGGCAGTCAGGTGAACCGCCCGACCCCGATGAGAGATCCAGAAATTGACATCGAGCCCCTAAGAAAAATCCCCGAAACTAGGCCTCCCTCCTTCGAGAATTGAAAAAACGAGGGGGCAGGCCCCACAAAAAAAATCCCTGAAAATTGAATTCCCTCTATTTCCTTAAAAAAACGTTTAACAGAGCCCCCCTCCTCTCTCTGTTCCAGGTGTTCCCAAGACCCAGAGGGATCGACATCGACCCCCGATCTTCGATTTCGGCCATCTTGCCAAGAAGATGTCCTTGCCAAGAAGGCCGCATCGGCTCAAATCTTAAACCGAGACACGCTGGTTTCCGGTCATCGATGAGATCCCGATAAATCGATCGGCGGATCGAAGGGGTCCTGGATGCTTCGCCCCTGAGGGATCCCCGGAGGCGGTAGGGGTTCTTCCAGGTGATCCGAGAGTTCCGGGGGTCGCCCTCGAAACCGGGGTCGGGCTCGGAGGTCGGGCCCTTGTCACCTAGGGGGGTCGCGCAAAGGAGTGGAAGAGTCCCCGCGGTTTTGTCGTGGTGTTGTCCGCCGGGGGTGGCGGTGGCGGCGGCGGAGGCGGCCCAGGGTGCCGACGACGTGACTTGGATCGCCGAGGGGGCGGTGGAGGTGCCCCCTGCCTTGCCACCATCAGCTCCTCTGTCGCGGGGAGCGCGGGGGGCTGTGGCCCCGTGGTGGGGCTCCCCTCCTACAAGAAGCGACAAGGTAATGCTCTCCGTAGAAACCGATGATCCTTGATCAAAATGGCGTCCGAGGAGTCGATCGTTTATGACCAGTCGTTGGAAACTTCACATGAATTTCATTTTTTTTTCCCTTGAAATTTCTTCGTAAAGATTTTCTTTTTCAATTCTTCGTAGAAATTCACCTTTCACGAAACGTATTTTGGTTTGCGCGATCGATATGTCCCATGTCCATGTAAATGCATATGGATTGAAACGACATACGTGCACCTTTAAGGCGGAAACGCAGCGTGGGGTCGAGGTGGCCGCGGCCGGGGCAAAGGTCGCGGGGGCGGCGTGGCCCTCCCGGGGGGCGGCGTCGCCCCCGCGAACTACCCCCCAGGGCTTCAGGGAGTCGGGGCAGGACTTCGAGAGGTGGTGAACATCCTCGGGGAGAGGAATCAGGTTGGAACTCTGACCGGCATCAAGCCACCCCCGGGGTCCCCCGACGATGGACCCGAGGACGAGGAGGAAGGTGCCCCCCGAAGACCCCCCAGGCCCCTCTACAGGAGACTGATCAACTACGTTCGCCAGGCCTGGACTGGCGTCAAGTTTGCCCTAGGTACGTCCACTTTTCTCTCCCTTACCTAATTAAAAAAAAAAATAAGTACATATACCTATCGAACCATTGACACGTAAAATATAAGAGTAATTCTAACTACGGGTTAAGTAACCCTCGATTAACGTTTTTAACGCGAGTTTTAATGCAACTTGGCTTAAGGGTTGCGGGACGTAAAATGATTGTTGTTCCCCTCGCTGAAGCAGGAAGGCATGCCCTTGGAAGCCGATCGAACTCCCTCAACCCTTGCCGAGGGAATGAAAAAAAAAAAATGAATTCATGCATCCATAAACATCCTCCTCTCCGTGAACGTGAATTTATCATCCTAGACAGGAGTCTCTTCAAGAAGGAAGGTCCCTCCCCGGATGGGGTCCTCGCCCCCAATTCCGGAATTTGCCACCAGGAGGGAATAATTCATTGTTACTGCGCGCATCATTTGTGCAGAGGGAAGCCCCCCTCCCCCTTGGGGGGTGTATCGCCCCCCTTGTGATAAATGCCGGTTTATCTCGCTCTTACCCTTATTTCCTCGGAGTGCCCTCGCATCACGCAACGCGACCCCTGGGAACTGCCCTCCTCTCGACGACTTCCGGGTCGATTCCCACCCTCTCATGCAAATTCATGACGGCCGACCGGAAGCGATTCTTTCCGCGGGGAAACGCGAGTCCTGCGATAAGCGGCTTCGAATCGCCGGACCCGAAGAGCCCGATGGTAGTTCCGGCTCCGAGAGAAATGGCCCCGGAACCGGAGAAGCTGTTTCGACCTTCCTGGGAGGTCCTGGACCGAGAGGTCCTCGAGCAGCATCCTTGGAGAGAGATGATCCTCTTGGACCGGCCGCGCCGGATCTAGGCCACGTTGCGCCACCTTCGGGCCTCGTGATATTTATTATTAAGACCCGACTCGGCGGCCGAAAATAGGGAATCTTTTATTTAACTCGATTTGCTACGCGATAATAGGCACTCCCAATTCTCCTCTTTATTTTTTATTCCGGCCGCGCGAGCGCTCTCGGCGCTTTAAGGTGATATGAAAGGGTCAGTCTATATATATATATACCAGTAGAATACCAAAAAAATGGAATATTAAAGTCAGATGGGAAAATATGGGAAATACTTTCCCCGACGATTGCTAGAGAATGCTGGCTCCCCCGTGGAAGAGGTCGCCAGCTAAATGGCCGCCTCGTGGACTGGCCATTGTTGAGGTGGAGACCAAAGTGGAGGTGTCGTTGGGGATGCGAGGGTCCGTTCTTGCCGGGCTCTCGAGTTTCCCGGGAATGTCGACCCGACTAATTGCCCTCGCCTTGAGTTTCCTGTCGAGCCGAGACTTATCTCGCCCCCTGATAACACGGACATCGTTCATTATTGTAACCCCGCGTTACTTCTAGAAGGACTCCCGGAAGAGCGTCCACAAGAGCCCTCGAGGATCCATGAAAGCTTTCCTCGGGGCTAAAAATGACAATTTTCCGCCTCCCCTTCGATTTTCCGAAAAGCCTCTCCACCCCTTTCGACTTCGACCATTCCACCCTCAAACGCACCCCTAATGGCGACTCTGGGCGCGTTTTGTAATCACGTAGAGTGCGCAAAAGCTCCTCCGACTCCGTTTTCAATATTAATTACCGAGCCCCCCCGGGCTTATTTAATTAAATAAATGCACCGTACGTCATACGCGTCATGTGATTTTATGCAGGGGGGGACTCGTTTCCAGCGACGTTTTTTACCCCCTCGACGCGTTTGCGCGTAATGCCATTGTTGGCCAATTCTCGCGTCCACAAATCAGAGGAACAAATTTCGAAACATCGTTTCCACCCCTTTCCTGCGGATTGACGCGTTTGGCATTATGCATTTTTTTTTCCTTTTTTTTCCAGAATCCGCGTCCGCCTTTTTATCCCTCGCGGTTCTATTCACGCACCTGTGTCGCGGATGCACCGACGCACCCCTGTGGCACCATTCATCCCCCGATTATGAGAGGACCAGGGGTGCATTCCGCGGAAATGCCATTCACACCTCTCTGCATTCCCCGGTTTTCCCTGCGACGAGGGGTGAAATTCCGAGCGGCCTCCCTTTTCGCGATTGTCTCCTCCCCGGGCTAAACGATCAACCCCTGAGGGTTCATTCACCATTTTTATTATTTCTTCTTGTACTTTACCTAATTATTTTCCCTAGGGCGCTTTTTATTCCGTTTGGCGAGGTAAGAATTCACTCCCGGGGGTGGAAATTAGATTGAGAAAAAAGCTAGTGCAGCCCCTAGTGCGGCAGAACGGGCAATGTGGAAATAATGAAGCCCTAATACGGTTTAAAGGGTGGCGAGCGAGGTATTTCTCGCCGACCGGGAAACAAGGGTGGAAGAAGCACGTTAATGATCTCCTTTTCTCTCGTTAGTGCCCCGGAAGTGCAAGGCCGGTCTTAGGGGGTGAACGGTTCTCCCAATTGAATTCCCATCGTGTCCTGGAAAGCTCGTTTCGTTTAAGCAAGCGGCTCCTATCTAGGGGTGAGTTACGACAGGGGATGCAGATCGGATGAACTGCCGAATTTGAACCAATTGAATAAACCCAATCCTCGTGGATCCCGCGAAGAAGGGGAGGTTCGCCTGAATCGATTAAAAAAATTATATGAAAATGTTTCTGTAGCAGGGGCTGCACCCTCTTTCTTATCCTTTGACTCCGTCGGGGATAAACGTTTTACAGGGACGCTTAAATAAATTTCTTAAGAAATTACGTAGCAGGGGTTGCACCCTCTTCAATGTCCTTGTCTCCTTCGAGAGGGTAGGTGTCGCAGTATCCGGTATAACCCAGAAAATGAAGGAGTCCATTGACATCCGCAGTGACACGGTTTACGCCGGAAGTCCTTAGTCACCCCCCTGAATTAAACTAACCCACAGGGGCGCGACAACCCCCGAGTGAAGCAAAGATTAATCGGTAATACGAGGAGTAACCGAGTCCTCACACCCCTGTCGCGTTACTTATGAATAACGAGATAGACATCGGAAGGGTTATTAATGAAAACAACCCCTCGAGGTAGGGTGCAACATGCAGGGTGCAGAGGCCATCCATAACGTTGCATCGGCCGGGAACTTCCGTGAACGCAAGCGCTCCCCAAAATCCAAACTTTTCACCCCCGAAATTCCTCCGAACTTCGATCGACCCTCACCCCCCGCCCCGTCGGAAAATTCCCAAGATAACTGAATAGAGTCCCGAGACGTTTATCGGGAAGAGAAACGATCCCTCCCCCGGGATTCAAATCATTTCCGTCCCCGGGAAAAAGTGGGCTGCGTCGGGGGAGGAATAACGTAATTGCGTCGAGGAAGGGGTGGGTCGGAATTTAGGGGTGGTTTATGTTTAGTCAGGCCTCTTCCCGATATGAAGTCCCGGAATAAAGTAGATGGTCGCCCGAGATAGGATCGAGATGTTTATCGGGAGGAAAAATGATTCCCTCGGCAGGGCGCGAATCATTTCCGCCCTTAAGGGACCGGAAGGGGTTGAAGGGGGTAATTGTCGGCTTAAAAGTCGGCGGTCTTGCCGACTTAGGGTGGAATTTAGGGGAGGTCGGGCACCCTTCGGGGGAAATCGGGTTAGGGGTGCAGGGGTGGGAAAGGGGCGCAGGGGTGGGAAAGGGGTTACGGTCTCGAAGTCTCGGCAGAATCGCTGCCTGGTAAGCCTCCGTCGCCACTTTGTTATACAGTGGGACCACTTTGACTCCATTTTGGCCTCCCCTAACCAGCTTCCACCATTACCTGGACCTCTTTAATTATATGGCGGGATGACACGAGGAGCGGCCTCGAGAGAACTTTTTACGAGAATCAACAGTTCGGGGAGACGTTCTCCAGAGGTCCCGGCATAATGCAAATGGCGGGGGATGTAAAATGCAGGCTCCCCGGATTTTCCGATTTATTATGCGAGCTAGGAAGACCTGTCCCGAGTCATCTCGTCCGCCTTAAAAGAGAAAGAAAAAACAAAGAAGGGATTTGCGAATTCAAACGAGCCTCTCGGTGGTTTTAAGCCGTCCCTCCGAATTTTTCAGACTCTGAATACGAGGAGGAGCACACGCCGAGATACAGGCCGGATTCCTTGGCGAGCCTTTGCAGAGCCACCAGGTTCACCGAGGCAGAACTGAAGAGGATATATCGAGGATTTAAGGCCGAGTGTCCTACGGGAGTCGTCAGGGAGGAGACCTTCAAATGCATCTATTCCCAGTTCTTCCCCCAAGGAGGTAAAGCAAACGTTCTACGTCGATTTAAAGGGCCGTGAATGTGGCGTCAAAGAGATCTCGCTTATGAATCTTTTCCCCGCACTGAGTGTGCCGAATTGTCTCAGACTTGACAATGTGAATATCGAGGCTATAAGGAAGGTCCTGAAACCTATGACACTTCAATTTCAACATAATTTGTTCATAGCTATTTTGAGCAATTTTAATAACAAGTGACATTTCAGGACCTACCTTAGGATCTTATTCGTGTAGTGAAATTTGAAACAAATTCGTACACCCAATTTGTTTTTTAATTACAAAAAGTAAAGTGAAATATGGGTATGGATCTAGATCGCGCTCAACTCGGGAATAATTCTCGGGAAGAGGTCGTTAGCGGGATGATCACGGGATAATGATTAAAAATTAGAATCACCGCGAGAGCAGAGATGCGCCCCGCGGAACTCCGGGCAACAATTAATTACAAAAGTTGTCCGGGAACTCGCGGGAAAGCGGAAAAATGCCGAGCCTGCTACCCTGCGAGGTCCTTTTTTCCCATTTTCCTCCCCCTTTTCACCCTTCCGGGAGTCCGACTAAGGAAAGAAAGTGCCGGTTACCGAGGTAAGTTGCCCTCGGCCTAGTTTATTATTAACCGAGGTGTCGTAGTTAAACGCGAATCACGGGAGAGATATTGCCCCGACTGGTACCCCATTCATTCCCGACATTTTCCTCCGGGTCGATGGTAATTCTCTTTCCTATCTCGCGAAGGAAGAAACAGTAACGAGAGATCCATTCATTAAACCGAGGCAGGGAAGTCTTTACGAGCCCGGAAGGGGGTGGGAAATGATTCCTCCTCTTCTTTCCTCCCTTAAAAAGCAAAACGTTCGGATTTTCCGTGCTCCGGCTATTTTCCCCCTCCAGAGACCAGTCTGTCCCCAATTTTCCCGCGGACATTTTCCGCCTCCCAGACCCGCCGCGCCGGAAGAAAATCAACCCGGGAAATTAGTTTTTCCCCAGGAAAATGCACTCGGCCGGGAAAGTGACTTCCCACGGCGATACGCCCCGACAACATTGACGGGTTAATCCTTTTTGCGTCCATTTTCCCGACGACCTTCTTCCGAGTACAGCTCTAAAATCTACCCCGAAGGTCCTTCGAAAACTACCCCTTTGAAAACGGACCTCGGATTTAGGGAAACTTTTCCAACTCGATCCAGAGTCCTCTCTCTCTCTCCCTCTCTCTTCGCATCCCGAAACCGAAGATCTCGAGCTTCAACCCACTTTCCAGGATAAACCCGACTCTCCAACTTCTGCGGAAAGCATCGAAGTCCGGAGGAAATTGTGCCCCGAAAACCGGCGGAAAAGCGAGGCCGAAAATTCTGAGTCATTCGGCAGTGATGATACACTTAAATTTTCATTCTTTCCCGTTTTTCAGCCAACACCAGTCAGTACGCGCATTACGTGTTCAACACCCTGGACCAGGACCACAGTGGGATCCTCAGTTTCGAGGTGAGTCCTGCTGCCAATTTTCCCCCTCATTTTTGAAAATCTCCGAGGTACAGAATTATCGCGAGATCCTTAGTTTCGAGGTGAACCTTGCGAACGATTTTTCTTCTCTTCACTTTTTCGATTTCTCTAACAAGGGAATATAATAAGTACGTACGAGAGAATAATAACGGGGTCCTGTTTCGAGGCAAGGATCTTTTTCACGATTTTTCGGCATTTCTAAAACGATCAATCGACGATGGCAGAATAATCCCGATAATTTATACGAAGATATCTTGCGACCGTGGGATAATTATTCACGGGCGATTTGTCTCAATCAGCGCACTGAGCGATAACCTGGCAGTGTTTACCGGGTGTCTGCAATTAGTCCCAATTTCCGGGACAAATCCCAGGACACGACGTAAAGGTAATGGAATTATCGTTCCGCATGCGGTAAGGACGTTTCCGGTATTACGCGGTCCTCGTCATGGCCTGTAATCGGGAAATTCCGGAAACCGCGATTCGAGACCCGCCCCCCCAAAAGTCGGAATAATCCTGAAAATTGGGAGGAAATAATTGGACAATTAATTGAACCTACTTAACCATCGATTTAGATTCAAGGAGCTCGCTAGCCCGGAAATTAAAATCAGTATACGAGGCATACGTCTCGATAAGGGACATCGTAAAAGGGTTAGGGGTGGAAAGAAGTTTCCCCATCGGTGCCGCACTCAATTACAACCCCCTATGTACACCTGTACATAGGTGTGTATACATCCGTGTACGTCCTCCAGGGAATCGAGGAGCCCCCGGAAGCTATCTTATCCCGTGGAAGACATACGAAAGACTTCGATTTGGAGCCCATCTGCCCCCCTCCCCGTTACCTTTCTTCTTTCTCCATACAATGGCATTTAATCCCGAGGTCGTTCGAGAAAAGTGTACCCGAGCTCGAGGCTCGCCAGGTTCTCCCTTTTTATTTTCCTTCCCTCCGGGAAAGAGTGTCTTTGCGAGAGGTCGTTAAGAGTTTAATTTAAGGTACACCTGTAAGAACCTTTGCCACCTTCGGGCGATCGATTCATTATTTTGCACCCCACACGTGGATACGCGAGCGGTTTGCACTTCATCGCGATATTTGACATTACACTTTTTCGGAGAACTCAATTCCATAATTTTCGCCCGGTATTTAAATTTGCATATTTTCATGCCGTCCAATTCCCAGGGGCGTTCCAGCCCCCGACTTGAATCCCATATCTAAGTTGAGGAAGGACATGGGCGAGAAAAACTCAACTTCCGGTTGTATTATTAATTCAGATTTCGGGACAAGTTTCCCTTTACGAGGTCCAAGGAGCCAGGGGGTTAACGATGGGTCATCGTGGGGGTAAAACCACCCCATGGGATCGTGGAGTTCGGACAGTCTCTAACGAGTCCGAGGGGAACGGTCTGGTCTTTGTGGGGGCCACCCGTCGTAAAAGCGAAGTTATACTCCACCCTCTTGGACGGGAGTATCGTCCACGATTCTCCGGGAGCGACGATAACTCGAGTTATCGCCAACTCGGGCTGGAACTCGATTAAAACTGAGGAGAGGAAGTGCGCTTCCTGTGAGCCCGATCTTGAGGTTGCTACCCTTTCCCGAACATCGATCTCCCCGATTGAATCGGATCCCTCACCCCGTAAAAAAGGGACGACGTTGATAATTAGATATACAGATTCTTGAAGTAAAACATAAGCCATAAGGGTGCACTTTTGGAGATTGAACGTCGCAAAAAAGTGGAAAATTAAAATTCACGAAAGAAAGGGTACTGTGAAGAATTAAATGTGATTTCCAGCCTGTTAGTTTCCCTTTGTACACAATTTCCCTGATTTTTTCCGGGATCTCGGGATTATTGGGTTCTCTTAGGGATAGCGGGGGCGCGTTTATGGCGAGCCGCGGATTTCGTCAATACGGAGGAAGTTTAGCGCCCCGGGATTAAGGGGATGAAGTCGGGGATGGAGGAATAATTAATTTGGCATCCCGACTAGGGATGCTGGATGGAAGTCACGCTGGACCAGGGCCGAGATGAGAAACTCCGAGCTCGGGTGTAAGTGAGATTAAGCGCTAGCAACGCCGTCAAGCTTACTCCGACTTAGCGGTTCGACTAAAATTTATACCTACAACCCCTAACAGCATCCACGTGGACTACGTCCAGGAACGAGGTCGTCCATTTAAGCCTCGATTCAATTCCAGCGATAGTCGGCGACCCGTCGTCGTCTACGGCAGGATCCTCCAGCGATCCAGGACTCTTTCCCTCGGCGTCCTTCCTCCCGTTTGAAATTTTCCTCCCAGGGAAAAATGGAGGGTAACCTCGAGGAAGCAACCACGGAGCAGAAATTCCCCCGTGTTATTATAAAACTTTCAGCCGAGCTTTCGCGAGTTTCCTTTCTCTCTTTACGCCCCTTCGGCTCTTCCTGGTCTATCTGTCGTCCCCTTTATTCCTTAACTGACGGAACGCGATTCGCTGAACCAACAACTCGGAGCTTTTTGATCTCCGCCACCGAGTAATAACCCATCCCTTTTGTCTCCAGGTTGGTCAGAAGGTGGAGTCCCCCTGGTCCTCTGCTTCCTGGCTCCGCTCGAAACCCTGACCCGCCCAAAATGAGGACTAAAAAAAATTGCCGCCACTTTTAAAAACCCTCCACGCCCCTAAGCTTAAGAAAAATATATGATTTTTAAGTCACCCACGGTTATGAAAGGTTAAATAAATGTTTCGCCGCGGGTCTCGATTGCTTTTCCAACGTCGCTCGTGGTTTTCTTCAAAATGGCGAGCCCGGTGAAGTCGGGGAGATGGAAGCATCGGTTTCGAGGCACGTCGTACCCGAAGCTCGATACACCTCGTAAGGGGAAGTTTGGCTGCGGGGATGACCTACATGCTGCACTTTGCTCCGAAAGTACTTCCACAATTTCCATGGTAATTGCGTTAAACGCACTCGGAGGGAGGAATCGCGGATACCAAGTTAGCCTGGGAGGGAGTAATATATTCGCGGTTCAGAGGAGGTGCACTTGCGAAACGCACTTGATAGGCACATTTTCCCCGTACGAGCCTTCCTGATAGATTTCTCCGCGGCGTAATAACCGCGTACGTGCTCCAAAGAGGACCTACGTGCGAGATCCTGCGTTACGTCCTGCCGCAGGATACGCGAGCAGCATCCAGAGTACTACGTACCCTCTCAGTAAATTGGGTTTCCTAATCGTGCTCTGCTAAACTGGCACTAAAGTTCATTATCCACCAGGCAATACGTTATCTCGCTCGCCATTACTCTCATAATTATCATGCGATTAGAGGCCTCCTGCATCCCCCTCGTAAATGGACCAATTGTGCAAGGATTCCCGAAATCCTGAATCGCCCGGCCACCATGCGACTCTAAAAACGAAATAAGGTCCTTGACTTTGAATCAAATTTCCATATTATCGTGCAATTGCAGACCTTCCGTGTTCCCGGACAGAGGGAAACGTGCATCCCCCGCGTGGATGGTCCGATTGTCCAAGGATCCTGGAAATCCTGATCTCTACGTCCCCATCTAGGCGAGAGCTTCGAGTCGAAATGAGGATCTTTAAAGTTTCAGCGTTGAATAAAAATCCCGCGAATGGGGGGGTGTAAAGGGATGGATCGATCCGGGGAACGGAGTCCTCGGGGGTGGAATATCGAGGGCAAGTGCTGACCCGATGTTTTCGCTGTTTCAGGACTTCGTCACGGGTCTGAGTATCCTCTCGAGAGGGTCCATCGACGAGAAACTCCGTTGGACGTTCTCGTTGTACGACATCAACGGAGACGGATGCATCACCCGAGAGGAGATGACGGACATCGTCACGGCGGTTTACGAGCTCATGGGGAAATTCGCTGATCCCACCCTGGACAACGAGGGGGTGCGAGAGAGGGTGGACAGGATGTTCCAGGTGAGCCCGGGATTCGTCAATGCCAAGAAAATCCGAAACCGTTCCACGGAATTTTCCACCCAAGTACTTCGGCACAATTTCCTCCCTTTGCGTCCCTAGAAAAATGACGACCATTAAATAAATATTGTTTAACAATTGCTGCAAGTACGAGTCGACCGTAAAAAGTTGAAACCCCGAAAATTCAATTAAACCCCAGCGAGAATATTATTAATTGTTATTAATTCTTTCAAAATGTCACTCTTCGAGGTAATCTACCTTTTCCGACGCGATTGTCCACAGAAAATGTAACGATAACGAGTAAGACTCGGTGAAGCGGAGCTTAAAAAAATTGCGTGTCTCGTAATTAGTCGTAATTCTTGACGTGACTTTATATATCTTTTTCCTACGTAAAAAGTGTTTTCTTTTCCAGGGCAGTAGGTATTATTTCCGAATAGTGGGAAACCGAAAACGACACGAGGAGTAGGGTTTCACCCTTTCGGGGAGAAAGCCGCGAACGAGGTCCGCCACGGGCCGGTGGATAAAAACCCTTGCGGAATGAAAACCACCCCTAGGAGAATCACGGGCAGGAGTGGAAATCGATTCCCAGAGGAGACCCGCGGGCGAATCGAGTGACCGTAAAACCGGGAAAGAGAAGGAAAGAGCGGATGGAATGGCCAGAGAGGGTGCTAAAGGAGAAAGGGAAAGAGGGGAGGAAAGGGGATCGCGATTTCCCGCAGAAGGGAAACCATTTTTCCAAACGGGATGTCGTCCAAAACGTCGAGGTTCCCGCGAAATCCTGGACGTCCCTCCCCTCGAGCCGCCCGGAAATCGCGAGTTCCGGCACGCGGAATCCGCGCGAACAACCCCTGCGGGGGGTCGCGACTATTCCTGGGAATAATTCCGAGGGCGCGTAAAATCACCCCCGGAAGTAAGGGGTTCGCGTGGGGTGAGAGGAAAACAATTGCCATCTCCGGAAAATTCACCTCAGGGACAATACCCGTCAAGGAGTCCCGAAATTATCCTCCCCGTAACGGTCTCTTGTCTCGCGAGGTACCGGAAGTACCTCTCCCTCGGGAACCCTGAATTTCTAAGGGCTCGAAGATAAAAGCAGTAAAAAATCGATCAGAGGAATATCTCTACAATTTTTATGGAGATTAAATTTCCACGCAAATTAGTGAAAGTCGATTTCACTGGCCAGCCGTCTCCGTAGGGCATTACACCGCTTACTAGTAATGATCGATGGAACATTTAGACGCTGCAATTACAAGGGAAAATGGTTTCGTTCGCCATATTAACATTCATATAAGGGCTCGAAGATAAAAGCAGTAAAAAATCTATGAGAGGAATATCTCTACAATTTTTATGGGGATTAAATTTCCACGCAAAGTAGTAAACGTCGATTCACTGGCCGTAGGGCATTACGCCGCTTAGTAATAATGGTCGATGAAGCGGTCAGACGGCGCAATTAGGAAGGAAACGGTCATCGTTAGCCTCCTCACAGTCAGGTGAGCAGCCCAAAGGTACGAACGGGTAAAGACACACAGACAGAGGGAATCGACGAGCTTTCATCGTGCGGCAAAGCGGAGGTATCCAGCTCGAAGCAATGTCGGCCAATTAGAGCCGGCAAAGATGACGTGCCGAGACGTGCCGGATTGGCCGTTCCCCGGGAAGAGACATCCCCGACAAAGGGAGACCGACTAGCCCCGGCGGGGAATTAAACGGGATATTTTCCTTTAACGAAAACTAATGACACTAACGCCGGAATTCGACGGAGAGCCGTAAAGATCGTCGGAGGGGATCTCCAAGGAGGAGAGTCCGGACTCGACGTTTTCATCAGCGCCCTTACTGGGGGAGTCCGGGTATATTTCTGGCTGTCACTGGCGAAATCCTAGGGGAATCCGAAGGTCGGGACCCGCGAGGAAACCATTAGGACGATTCAATGGGGTCGGAGGGGGAAAAAAAATACCTGTCACTACCAGAGAGGGCGACGCCGAATCCAGAGGTAACCAGAGGTGAGCTTCGAGTGCCTCCTTCGCCCAAGGAGTTTCGAAGGAGGAACGAACTCCTGGGGAATAACGGGGACAAAACTCGCGCCTCTCCTCGGCGGGACTGTCCTGAATGGGAGCATTATTCCCGGGAAAGAAGACCGACACAATGACTTCCGGAATACGTAATTACGAGGCGGCCGCAACTCCCCCGGGACTCTTCGATAATGACGGTGGGCTGATTTTTAGGCCTCCTTAAACTCCGCTTTTTTTAACCCTCTCTCCTCCCCTTGGGTAATACGTATAAATTCCTCACTATGTAAATTTACTAGGTAACCTATAGATCTACGTACATGGTACGCATATCCATGTACAAGGTCTTACACGCCCCGAGAAAAATTACAACGTAATGACAACGTGCACGAGCCACGCGAAGCGCGAACAAGGCATCGCATTACGATCAGCAGCGCATCATCTTGCCCTCGGATCTATCCCCGAGGGAATTCCCATTTCGGGGCGAAGATACGAGCCGGAAACGGGCCGCTGACGGAAACGCAGTTGCAAAGGCGAATGCGCACGCGGAAACCGAGTGCCAATTTGCGGTTTTGCAGAGCGCGAACCTGCAGGCCCGCGTTTCGAACCGAATCGCAGGCGAGTGCACCTCTGTAATTGCCTGCGGTTCCTGTTTATTCGCGAGACCTTCCGGCTGGTTCGAGCTTACGGCCTGGATCGCTTTGGGGGACTAGTCGTTACTTCTTCGGAAAGCAAATGAAATTACCACCGACAACGGATATTACCTCTGGCGAGTAAGGGCGGTAAGGGGTCGAAAGCACGGGATTCGTTCAACGTCGGGCACGTTTCGGCGGTCGAATTATCAGACTTCCGGCAACTATCTCGCGAGAGGGTTTGATCGCCCCCGAGTTTTCCTGCCAATAGTTCGGCCCGACACCTCGGCGCCTCCACCCGCAAGTCCAACACCAAAGTCTTGTAATTGCGCTCCGCACGCGGCGAGATGAGTTTCCCACGGCGGCGTTTGTCCTCCGATTTGAAGCCGGACCTGTACCCCGATAAGACAGCTGTAATGAGAAAGCCGAGATGTAATTGCTGATATTTTTTATAAGAAGAAGTGCCAAGTCTTGGCAGGAAAAATCGGGGAAAAATCGGGGAGGGAGGGAAAGAACCCTTTTTGCGGGCTCGGGATGAACTTCGGGTCCAGGGGGTGAAATCACGGCAAGGGATGCATTAGCGAGCCGCCCGGCGTAATTATGTTTGACGAGCAAGAGGCCCTACGCAGTGGAGGCGCCTAATTACAGAGCCCGGTAGAGAGAGCCGCGAACCACTCCCGAAACCGATCAAAGGGCTACCCTCGAAGTTAGCCTGAGCGATTAATCGCCGTGATAAAAACTAAAAAGGGGAGGAGGGTCAAAATAAATGATGTGGAATTTTTCAACGGCAAGGGAACACGGAGGAATCCAAAGTGTCGACCTCGCAGACCTCGCGCCATTACTCAGGCTGTTAGAAACAAGAAAGCCGGGAAATAAAGTAACGCCAGTCCGCGGAACTGGGACGAACTGCTTGTTTTAATTAATCGAATTAAACGGGGGAAAGTCCTCGCGCTAATGAATCAGCCTAAGTTCTGGCACGAGACCGGGCAAAGCCTCCTAGCCCTCCGGGTTTTTTCGCAACCCTCCGAGCCCGGAAATTCAAAAGCCAGAGCTGTCGATGCGAGATAATCGGAGTATTGTTCCCGGAGTAACTCGAGATTCCCCTAAATCCCCGGAGAAAGGAACCCTACCGGCTCGGTTTATTCACCTTCTTAATCTCCCCCCGGATCCTCTTTGCGCAGAAATTAAATCTCGCATAAATTCGAGTTACGAGCGGGATTATCGCCCGGGGCTGAAAGCGACTCGTTAACAACTTCCGGAATGGGGAACCATTTCCTGGCTGGCGATTCCCAGAGATATCTCGAAAATCCGAACTTTCGTTCGACTCTTGGGAGGGAGAGAGGTGCCTTCTCAGAGAACCGTAGAAATCGAGGGCCGATGCGCAAAGTCGATCTTGGTCTTGCGCTTTTTACAAATACATCCAATTCAGGAAATACTTTCCCCAACGATTTGACCTCTCTGATATATATATAGATTCACCCTTTCATATCACCTTAAATTTCCGAAATTCGGCCAACGAAGAGGCGGTAAACGGGATTGTTAGAGAACCGATGATGTGGCACTGTTGGGAAAGCGTGATTTCAATTGTCCCGGTCCGACCCCGATGACAAGGGGTGGATTCGTTTTTCGGCTTTTCGGGCGATAATTCTCTTTTCGCACCTGCAGCTGCTACGTCGACGGGAATTAATAAGCGTCAGGTGCACGATAGGCCCTGATTTACCCGCGGGTTGACACTAGGTCGCGCAATTGGCTCGCCGAATCTGCTCGATGACCCGACGACCCCCCCTGGACAAAGCTGGAGTCCAATTTCCGGGGTGCGGGGAAATAACGAAATCCTGGGGCGGTTGAAAATTAACGAGTCCTCCTCGGGCGTGGGAACCGACTGGACGATCTCATGTGGTCGATTTTCTGCTTCAGAAAATGGATGGGAACAAGGACGGCGTGGTGACGCTGACGGAGTTCCTGGAGGCGTGCGGGGCCGACCCCGACATTTCGGCCAGCATGGCGGCTTTGGACACGGCCTTCTGACACGCGGCGCGTCCCCGCTACACGGCTTGGACTTGAACTGGACCCGATCTTCCTTGTAGGACGTCATGCCTCCAGAAGAAGAGGAAGCGAGGTCGCTTTTGTCCCGAGGACGGGTCGTCATGAGGCTGAACCATGGCGACCCGGAAGCGCAGCCTCGACTTCCGGTCGAGGGTGACACTTGGTCATCCCTTGAGGTGGAACCTGCCGGGAGATTTTTAATGTAAAAGTATATATACATAGAAAATGTATATGTACCATGGATTGTAGGGAAGAGAATGCTGGAAAGATCGTCATAGATTCCTCTGGCAGGTTCCTCGCTACCTTATTTCATTTATCGAGATTTATCGAAGGCGAGCGAGGTTTTTCGAGAACTGGCATTTTCCCGACCCCGCGAATCGGGCTTCAGACTCGGGATGACAATGGTGCCAAATCATTGACGTATTTTAATGATCATAAGGGGTTACTTTCAGATCGACGAAGGACCATGCCGACAAAGCCGATCCTCCATCGAAGGAACTTTCTATCGCGTTATTTTCAAAGGGGTGCCCGCGAAACGAATCAGCTGATCGACCTCTCATTCCCTGAAAAAAAAAAAACCGATTAATATCTCCCTGTTAAACAAAACACCCCGCGACATTTTATTTATATTTCCTATGAACATAGATTTTAAGTTTAATGCACGAGTGAATTAATTTTCCTACTCGAAGTGACAAATCGTTATAAAATTATAATTCCACTTTATAATTTATAATGGCTAATTGTATGAATACTTTTAACGGTGCAATTCAATACCAAAGTAGCTGTCGATTGAAGATCGAGAGCGATCAGCTGATCCGCTGTTCCTCGCGTCCTGTTTGTTTCTCTTTTTCTTTTCTTTTTCCTCGGAGCTGCATCGGCGCACTGACGGAGAGATTCTGGCGACGGATCTGGATAAATACAATGCAACGAGTACGGTTATAAATAAATGAGCCAATCGGGGTCCGTAAGACATGGAACGACGGATTTGACCATCGTCAACCTCTCGTTCAGGGCCGATTAATCGTCGATACGTGCTGAGAGAAATCAATTCCGCCGACCACGGCGCCGAAATTACTTCTAGAGGCTATTTGTCAAGTATATTACGATAACGACGATGATTATTCGTAGGACCCCTCGAGGCGTTTCCAAGATTCTTGAAAAATTCATTCTACCGGGGGTAATCGAACTTGTACATATTCCCAATCAATATCGAACCGGTCGCGGTGGGCGGAATCGATCTCTCCCGATGAACACGCGTCTCGTTTCTAGAATAAGCGTAAGTCGACGGTACAAAGTGTTTATTTTTGTGAGAGGTTACTAGTTAAGTTAGTTGTAAAGACTGTGCTGCTAAAGAAAGAACGTGAAACGGTCCATGGCGGATGATAAGGCCGGATTATGTCGAACGGATCTCTCTTTTTTTTCTCCACGAGATGGCAATTTTTGACGATTCGGAAGCAGGTAAAGAGAAAGATACGCGAACTCTTCGATTTTTAGCAGCGCCGAGTAGTAAGGAGTAAGGTCTAACGTGTAACTGAGATGAACGTTGAGTGTTGTCTCACATCAACTCGATCACTACCGCATGTCTTTGAAGTTACTTCCTAAATGTTTAACCAAGGCAAAGGAATAACTAATTGTCCGAATAGTCCCGAGGAGATTAGTCTAGGCGAGTGCCCAGCCGGCGCGGAACATTTTTCCTCCCCTCGATATTACAAGTAACTTGCATATCAAAATCCACCCGAAGCGCGACAACCTCCCTCGAGAAATCCATTGACAAATCAAAAAGGAATTAAAACCACCAGACATTTCCGAAGATATGTAAGTTACATATAATATCAGTCGCGATCAGATTGTAAAATCCGGCTTTTTATAAAACGGTGTCGGTGAAATCTTCCCTCACTTAGCTTCCCTTAACAACCCAGCCGGTGATTTAATAAAGCGACTAGGGGTTTTATTCTACCAATCTGATTTTACAATCTGGCTGCGATACGCCAATAAAAAAAGAGTATCTATTAGCCGAGTGGGAGCGAGCTTTAGCCCTAAGCAAAGCGAAAACGAAAGCTGAGGCTATTCCTAACGACCTGAGCGCTATTCTCGAACACGCCAGAGGTTGTCCATCGTACACGTAGAGTACCTAGGAACGTATTAATTAATCTATGACTCGATAGACTCTACCTAGTCGACGCCACTCTACGATACCTAGGCTAACTACCAGAATAATTCTACGTACTTTGAATGTCTCTTAGAGAAGTTCCATCAGCCCCACTTACAATTAGAGAGCCAGGAGATTCGCTAAAGAACAATTCCCAGCAGCCCTCTCGACCTTCCCCCAGACCTAGCAGACTACCTCGAAGTAGAACTACCTCTAATCAGCCGATAAAAAAATATTCTCCTCGAGATAACCGCTTATCTCACCCCGAGTCTCTCTTCTAATAGATCTTGCCCACGCAGCGGGTACACTCTTCGAGGGATTATTTTTCTATTTTTTTTTTTTTTTTCCGGGGAAGACGTAGATCTCTTCAAGAACTCTTTACTGGTCGAGTAGATGCTATTGTAGGGTACCTGCAATTAAAATACAATTAACCAAGGCTTTGGTTATTTTTGCGCCGGAACTAATTTACTAGAGACGAGCTTCGCATACTAGGATGAGGTACTCTTAATTAATTAATTTATTTATTTACTGGTGTCCATGCGCCGTGGGTTAAGTATCAATGCTCCCCTAGGAACTCCGTCCTATCCCAAGTCCATCAGGAATTACCCCAGTTTCTTGCAGAATTCTGTAAAAGAAAAAGAAATCAAGATTTTTATATATATATTCAAGTTCTCGCGAAAATTTGGCACTCTCAGAGGGGAGATCCCCTGGAGGAATCTATTGCAGTTTAAAGTGAGGGTAAAGTTTATGTTGTAAACCTCGTTTAGCTAGCTTAACCATTAACTAATAGGATTAATATCGACGACCTATCTTCTCTAGACGAGAACTGTCTCCTTCTCGAGGGCTAGACGTTCCTCTCGGGCCTCCAGCCGGCTAAATTAACTAAATCTAACGTTAAAGAGTGGAATTTAATGATCCATCGACGATGTCAAAGGTCCCGCACTAAGGAAAAATTAATTAACCATTCCACCGAAAAAGATATTTCCTTAAATAGTACCAAAGAAATATATCTGCGGCAATCCCCGAAGGAGTCGTTGCATCCAATTCATTTGAGTCCAATTGAGTCAGACAATTATTCTTTGAATGAATAAAATATTTTTCTAGTTCGATGACATTTTATTTTGATTTTTTATCATCTCTTTTTTTTTTTTCTTAGTGCGGGAAGAAGAGGAAATCGGAAGCTCGCGAGCTTTTCCTGTCGACTTATTCGAGAAGCGAGATCGAAACCGATCAATAGGAGGGAACATGTAATTCGAATAAAAAAAAAGAGTATGAGAAAATGCAAAGAAATATACACCGTATGGCCGGACTCTGCTTGTATGGCTGACAGATGGTCCAATCATAGACTATATATTAATAAGAGAAAGTTAAAAAAGAGAGATATTAAATAGAGAGCCTATGCTCCCACCGACGTCCAAGATTTTTACGCTCTGAATCGCTTTACCCGAATCCTTTTTTTCCAATTTTCTTATCATCGTTAATGTGAAAACTAGGAGGAACTTTGCTCGCTATCGAATAATCCGATAATTTGCACATTTATCTTCGGTAATTCTAATATCACACCGTAGGACCTTACAATGCGGTAGGAGGCTCAAAGTGGGAATTTTCCAATTATAATATTCAGCATTCTGCTCCAATGGAGGTCCCCACAATGCGTCGAGGAGATTAAAACAAATGTTCGATAAACGGATTAAAAACGAAAGCAGTTTTACGATTCAAAGTGCCCTATCGATCCTGGACGTCGCGCGGGCAAGATAAGATTAAAGAGGATTAATTAATATACGATGTTAAATATGATGGATTTTAAAGAGAAGGCAGAAGGTACTCATGGCGGTATATTTTCAGTGTAAATCAAGTGTAATATGTATATAGTATTATATATTATCCGTGGTAAGACTACGTGTCTCATAGCTTTAACGACTCGGAGATCGCGGCCGAGTTATCAGTCGTCGATATCGCCAAAACGGAAGCCGTTGATAAAATCGCTCGGAGGGGGGAGAACGAGGAAAAAAAACAAAGAAAAAAAAATAACACTTTTTTTACGCCGCCGGTTAACGGGATAACGAGATTTAGGAGATAAACGCGCGCTTCCGCAATGGGAACCGAAGTGTACGAGTGTGTAAATTAATCGTTTGGATGTTGACTGTTAAATGTTAGGGTAGGTCAAGGCGATCTCGAAGGATACGGCCGTTTTAATTCCTGTCGGCGACATTCGCTCGATTCGTTAATTAATTCGTAACGTTAAGTGTGCGTTTCGGTTAGCAGGGTGTATCGGAAACGACCCGATAAAAAGGCTGGAGCGAAATGGAATGAAAGAATTTTAATTCCAGTGAATGCCTGATTTTTTTTTCCTCCTTCTCTTTCTGTTTTCCCCATTGTCCTTAATTTCATTCACGGTTGAAAGAAGCTACAGAATTTTTCTCGGAATCAAAAGTTCCAAACTTATCCCAGAAAAGGTGACTCTTGACGTGTTCTAATATATTCCTTTTTAATGGAAGGTATTAAATCAACTTATGGAATACAACCGAACTGGAATTGGACGAAGTAAAGGAATATATTCCTTTCGCGGAATTCAACATTAATTAGAGTATACTGTGTTAATAGGAGTAAGACTTTCCGAAATGTTATTCCTGCTGCCGAATTGGGCGGATGCGAGGAATCGGGTATTTCATGAAATTGGAAACTCGTCACTTTTACGTTTACACTGGGAAATCTTTTAATCCTGTTCCATTCGAGCCTTCTTACTGGGGAAGATCGACGTTTTTTCGTTCCCAAGGATTCGCTTTGGTGGAAGAAATTGTTGAGGAGTAATTCTTGTTCTTCGTTGTCGGGGAGTCTTTGTTGGTAGAATTTGTTCGGCTGGATAAATTGGACAATGTACACTGCCGTCGCTTGCTCGCAACGAAATTTCCCTTTATTTTCTCCGTTCCCGATGCACTGCCTCGAGAAGCTGACGAATCTGCGGGGGAAATTCTCATATCAATATACAGCCTCGTTTAATACTTTCCCGTACGTCGGACAACCGCGACAAGGTGTAATCCGTCTTTCTCCGATGTACATTGTTGGATCGCTGCGTTTCAAGTCGCCTTAGTTATGCCAAAGCCTAGCCATTATTACGATGTATACTTAATTATTACCAATTAATTATTGTATTACACCTGGGAGTATGTAACTATTTTATAAATAAATAAATAATAATCGTTCGCCGCGAGATACTCAATTAACTTCCTGTCGACTGTTGAGGCACCAGAGAAAATCCATTGAAACAGGAGACTTCTGAGCTTTTATTATCGCAGATGTTTTCTTAAATTATAAAAATGTATAACAAAAGATTGTGTACAAGTCGTTACGGCTCCTCTTTCACTTTTTCCAAGAGCTGCTGCCTGATATAATCCCAGTACATTCTCCTTATTTTATCGTATTCCTTGGCTAACTCTTTGCATAACTGAAATGGAAGAAAGTACAATGAGATTTTAACCGATCCATTGTCTAGCAGAAAATGCTAAATGCTTACATTGATGGCAAAATTTATATTATAAAATGAATCCGGTGACTCTTCTCTATGGCCGTGTCTCTCTTGACAAATGTCTATGATGCAAGAGAGTAAGTGGTTTGAGCGGCAGTTCTCATTGTACAATTTTTGGCAAAGCTGTGCCACTTTCTCGTTCCGACCCAAACCTCCGGCATCGTGCATCAATATACTAGAATTAAATAGACTTGAGAATGGTTATTATCCCATGCTTATGCCATTATTATCTCTCATTACCCTCTCAGATAACTCCAAGCACTTTCGTTATTCTTGACTAGCATTATTTTTTCTAAAGTAAAATCAACTTCTCTGTCGATCACATCTTGCTTGAATTCCGTGGTCTCTTTTAATACAAAATATCTTTGATTCCACGCCGAGTTATTCCTTACGTCCTTATCCAATAAGTACTCCACGTATGCTAATTCCTTGTCGTATAACCTGTACAAAATTTATATCGATTAAAAATTTAATTCAAGTGCCGATTAAACCTGTATAGATGCATTAATAAATCTCACTAACTCGAAAGCCTTTATACACCACTGCCGATGTTGCCAAGCATGATAATTTTTCGAGTCGTGCTTCAATATAGCTTCCGTGAACACCAGCTCTTCGCTCGGGTCTTGGAGCCACTCGACGATTACTCTTCTGTGATACCACACCTGGTAATTCTTGGTATTGGCTTTGATTATCTTCTCGATGTACCTTAATTCCTCTTTTAAATCTTTACCGAGCGCCTTGAGCACTTCCCTCCTAAATTGCCACACTGTATAATTGGCGGGATTAAGCCACCCGCAATCCTTGGTCAACTCAAGGACTCGGTCTGACTTTTCGCCTGATTTAAGGACTGCCCGAAAGTAATCGTAGGCGTCTTTGACTACGGAACCCAAACCATTAGTTCACGTCTATTAAACAACATCAATTTAAACAACCTTCTCACATGCCGCGCGAGTATTTGGCATGTCGAAAAGTTAAAAATATTATTTGGAGGTTAGGCCTGCTTACTCACATCTCTTAGAGTACGCGATAGCGACGATCGGATTAGGTCCATCGTCTTGAGGTACAGGTTCAACATCGTTCCACGATTCCATCTCGCTGTAAAGAACCGCATCAGCTCTGTCATTTTCGTCGCTATTTATGTCCTCCTCTGAGCTGTCTGACATTTTTCACGAATTCCGATTTTCGAATCCTCGCTGGTCGGAATGACGAAAGGTTCCACCAGAGATGAGTTGGGAGCGTAGATGAGGAGGATTCCTGAGTTGAGCCGTCATTGGTGTCTCGGGCATCTCTGGTTAGGAACCACTCACCTGCGAGCAGACTGCCGCGAACATCTCAAGGCTGAACTTGACCGACGACTGAGGCGACATCTAGCAAGCTGCAAAAGACTACTGAGCAAGGATCTATAAGCAGAGCGCCGTCGTCCTCTAGCAGCAGTATCTAGAAACCGATTGACATTTAGCATGGACGTTCTCCTAGTTACCCAACGATCCGAAAATTCTTTCCTTACCATTTTTCAGAATACAAATCGAGTTCCGCGGCAGTTCGACTCGACACATTCCCTTCTAATTCACGAACAACGCCATACGACGATTGGGTATAGGATTCATTTCGTAGAAATGAAAGTAGGATAATGTTTAAATTAATAAAAGCCTTCTACGTTCGCTTATATCTTTTATTTATCTCTTCTATTTTGTATTACATTTCATAAGGCAGACTTGAAACATGTCGAGATGAGAAGCAGGGTTCAAAAGGGCAAGCCTTGCACCCTCGGCCCAAATCGATATCGTTCCCTTTCCGAGGAAAATGGAATTTCTGAGACCTTTCGATCGGTTCCTCATGATTGATTAAAAAACTACCTACTACCTTCGGCGAATTGTACGAAATGCCGATGACCCCGTGCCCTGGTGCACAAATACGATCATAAAGTATCGATATGATCCACTTTCCTTGAAGGTATCCTTTTCCGAGCATGGCCTCTTTGGCGCAGTCTTCATTGGTAGAAGAAAACCCACGAAGTTCGTTGGAATCATGTGCGGAGTTTATCTCTTTTTATTGATGGCCAAAGTCATTGCTGGATTCAACGATTTCCCGTCCCTGATCACCGCGAACGCGACCATGGGTACTCTTAACTTTTTCAATTTACATTTTCGACGGACTCGTTCTTCAGGGACTTTTGCATAATCTCTGTATCACCACAGCCGTAGTCATCGACAGGAGTTTTTTTGCGGACAGCTCCGACTTCGAGGAGGTCTCCAGAGAGATCTCCGAGGTCATGAAGAAAGCAGTCAAGGAGCAAATGCGCAATGGCGGCATCGAGATCAGGGTCTTCCTGGACACCAGCGTCAGTCTCCGCCAAGGTGAGATGGATCCGCCGAAAGAGGTTTGGTCCTTTTCCAAATTGATAATTTTGATTCATTTTTCCCAGAATATTCGGTGCTTTTCTCTATTGCGACCTGTCGAGAGACGTGGAAACTCTTCAAGCTCGCGCGAAAGGAGAACCTGGTCCACCTTGCGGTGACTGGTAATTAGGACTTCATGCTTCCTCAAAAATCGATGCCCTTAGAAAGATTTAAAAATGGTACCCTTTCTCCGATGATGAATTTAGAGCCTGACTGTCCTCGACTGCTCAAGGACGAAGGAATAAGCGTCCCCGCAACAAAACCTGGAGATGAGCTGCCCCAGATCCTGATGGACCTGAGGATGACCGGTGTCCTGGTTTGGAAGAAGATCAACTTGTTGCACGACCAGAGCTTCGGTAGGAAAACCTCCCTGGAGATGAATGTAGAGATTTCATTTCTATTTCTCGACTCGGAAATCATTCCTCAATTTGGTCCTCCACTTCAGGAAGAGATACCATCAGCAGGGTGTTGCGTTCCCTCTCCAGTGAGCTCCCCAACAAGGAACGAGCTGTGTCGTCCGTATCGGTCTTCGACATCAAACCAGAGACTTCCGATTGGGCCATGAGAAGACAGTTAATGAAGACTCTCTCAGGTTTCCACACCAGGACGGAGAATTGCTTCCTAGTGATCGTTACCCTGAAAATGGTCGCCGACGTGATGGAGGCGGTAAAATCTGCACCAAATTTCCGCCCAACCATCGACTAACTCTCGTTCACTTGCAGGCGAATTCCCTAAAGATAGTCCATCCTGCAACCCAATGGCTGTACATCGTGACGGACACGACAGAAAAAGACGCCAACATGTCTACGTTCATCGATTTCCTGCCCGAAGGAGCTAACATTGCCTTCCTGTATAATTCCTCGAAGCTAGACAACGCATGCAACGTAATTAGATCTTTTGAATTAAATTATCCTGAAAGAGGCTGAACTCGAGCTGGTCCATCTTCTAGGTAGGCTTGACGTGCCATATCAAGGAGATCGCCAGAGCCTTGGCGAAGAGCTTGGAGGATTTGCTGAGGAAGGAGATCAACCTGTTCAAGGAAGTCACTGATGAGGAATTCGAAGCCACCAGGCCGACGAAGCTCGAAAGGTCGCAGAAAATTCTTCAAAACATGAACGTGAGTCCGGAGTCCTGGTCTTGGGTTTGAGTCTTCAAGTCTTTAAGCATCTTCTGGTTTAATCGGTAGGAGGATTTGTCCGCGACAAGGTCGGCTTCGGGAGGCACCTGTAGTCGCTGCTTGGTCTGGAGACTCAGTTCCCCAATTACGTGGGGAAACACTTTCGTCCACGAAGACATGGTCACGGATCGAATGGTCGAGTCCGGGTCCTGGACCCCAGGACCAGGTCCCAACATGACGGATGTCATCTTTCCTCACGTGTCCCATGGGTTCCGGGGCAAGATTCTGCCAATGGTGACCTACCATGTACGTCAGTCCTACAGGGATGAAGAATGGCTTAATAAATGCGCTTGCGGCTCTTTGTCTAGAACCCTCCGTGGCAAATGGTGACTTTTAACGAGTCCGGACAGCCGGTTTACGATGGACTCATTTTCGACATCATAAAGGAGCTCAGCTTGCGGTTGAACTTCACATACGCGGTCGTTATACCCTCGGACAGAAGGGAGCGGAAACTGGCCAATCGAATGCACCAGGTCAACGTCATTAAGGAGGTCTGGTCTTTCTCCATCCACTGGGTTTCCTAAATCGTTCCAGTGATTCGGACAACTCTGGCTTCTTTCCAGAGGCCTCGTTCTGTCCCAAATTATTTACAAAGTGTTCCGTTTCAGCGACTGGATGAGGCTCTGACGGGCGGAACCAACACCGTTTCCGAAAAAGTGATGGAGCTGGTCCGCACCCAGAAGGTTCTCCTGGCAGCCTGCGCCTACACGGCCACTGAAAATCGCAAAACCACCATAAACTTTACGGTTCCAATTTCGATGCAGACTTATACCTTGCTCTCGGCCAAGCCAAAGCCGCTGTCCAGGGCTTTGCTCTTCACCTCGCCTTACGCGACGGAGGTTCGCAGTTTATATCCATCCGTTAAGTTAGCTCGGAGAAAAGTTTCATAAACGAGACTTTGACGCCACTTTCGGATCGCCTTAAAAGATCGCCATCTCGGTAGGCCCTTGTCTTCGTTGTTGGATTTTTTGGCGCAGGAACCGTGTAGAGACGTCCAAATGAACCGTAAAATGGTACCAGAGTTTAGGATCAGCTAGTAGAGTAGGTATGTTATGGCGTGCTTCGGGATCAGCCTCTTAAAATTGCACTTTCAGACCTGGGCCTGTCTGGCTGGCACCATTATCGTAATAGGGCCAATCTTGTACCTGATGCACAAGCTCAGCCCAAGTCAGACGAATATTCAGGTGGCCATGGGACTCGGCTCGCCTTGGGAGTGCGTGTGGTACGTCTACGGTGCCCTCCTTCAGCAAGGTACCATTTTCTCATTCTCGGAAGCGTAACTTTCATTAAATGCCATGCCCGTGCAAACGATCGGTTTGTACGAGCCTTAATGCGTGTCCTCAGGAAGGATGTCAAAGACAAACTTCAACGTTGTCATCGGCCGTGTCGATGCCGTTCTTGAGCAACAGACGCTGTTAAACGGATTTAAGGGGATGCGAAAGTGCCATCCGAGGGATCAATCATGGATTCATGAAACTTTTCTCCGAATTGGGTGTACGCCCAGATCGGAGGAAAGTTTGAAAAGCGAAAGACTTTTTTGACGCCACTTTCGCATCGCCTTAAGGCCGCCTGGAAGAATATAGGAATTATTAAAGTTGCTCCGAGTAATTTCGATCCCTCCAGGTGGGATGCATCTGCCGCAAGCTGACAGTGCCAGGTTGATAGTTGGCACCTGGTGGTTGGTCGTCATGATCGTGGTGTCGACTTATTCCGGGAGCCTGGTAGCCTTTCTGACTTTCCCCAGGATGCATCCTTCGATCAGCACCGTGGACGACCTTCTGGCTCAGAGAGACCAGGTGACCTGGGGCTATCCTCAAGGTAGCTTCTTGGAACTCTACCTGGAGGGTTCTGAAGAAACTAAATACAGGGATCTGTTAATTGGCGCCGAGAAGTATAACTCCTCCGATGATGAGGATATCGTCAGGCGAGTCAGGGAAGGTAGGCACGTTCTCATCGATTGGAAGAACTCCCTGGCCGAGTTGATGAAGAGGGAATATCTAAGGTCTGGCAGGTGCGAATTTAGCCTGAGCAACGAGGAATTCATGTTCGAGCCTATCGCCATGATCGTTGCTCAAGACAGCCCCTACTTGCCCATCATAGATGCCGAGTGAGTCGGAATTGATTACCATAATATCCTGAATGATTAATCCCCCGATTAAATAACTTTTCGTTAGATTAAAACGTATGCTCGAAGTCGGCCTCATCGGGAAGTGGACCTCCAACAGGATGTCCACGGAAGACAAGTGCTGGGACAGACTAAGACTCGTCCAGGAGGCGACCAATCATAAAGTCAGCATGGACGACATGCAGGGCAGCTTCTTCGTCCTTGGCATCGGTAACGATCATCCCTATTCAAGTAAAATCCTTAAACAGCTCCACTGAAAGTAGTTTCCCCATCATTTTATCTAATTACAGGGTTCGTAGCGGCTATTTTAATCCTGAGCTTCGAGTTCTACTGGCACATGCGAGGGACTGCAAAGGAACGCGGCCTGATTCGTCCTTTCGTGTCTTAAGAGCCTTAATAAAGATTTTCCCAAATTTTTCCGGTCTTTCCATTTATCTCCAGGAATCGAGGACGTTCCCGAAGTCAGCTAGATTATTACGAATATGTACATTGACTCGATCTTCCCATAAAAAAATGCTTCCACCCGAGTGACGTCTTCGGACCTTTCGCGATGGGACCAATTGAGCCATTATCTCGTCTCTCGGGTAATCGTTAGACAATCCCGCGAATCGGAACAATCGACGAGGCAAATGGTTTGAGAGATCCGCCGCTGAGCGATTGCATTTAGCAAGAGTCTCGGTAAAAGTCGCGAAATTATGTAACGGACAATGGTCCTCCCACTTGAAAGCAGGTCTTCGCGTGGAGCTCTTCCAGGTTGCGTTACCCACGCCGGCAATAAATTAAAACTATGACTCCTAGGTGCACCTCTCTCCTCGTCCCATTCATGCACTTAGTAATCGCTGCACTCCTCGTTGCATAGGCCGAGATTTAATTCGTCCCGTTCGCGCGAGTCGTTCGCGAAAAATGGCCGCCCCTTCTAAGTGCGATTTTAATCGAGCGAATCGGCGGCTCTAGATTTCTTGCGTTTGTTGCGCGATTTTACGATTTTCCAGAATTTAGTTACAAAGATAAAGACAGCTTGTGCAAGTCGATTCGGTTTGGTTTTTGGGTGGTCGAATTCCCTACGGCAGTCGAGCGGTGGTTCTCCATCCGAGAGCGCCGCCATTTTGGTACCGAGGTAAAGACCTGTAACTCCCAAAAATGTAAATCGAATCGGAAGTCGTCGCGAGTGCGGTGAATAATTTCACGTGAGCGAGCTCGCTTATGACAAATTGAAATCCCGAGGAATGCCCGGGGCGGGAGAGAAATCGACAAGGAGTAAAAAAGAGTCGAGATGATAGATACGAGGAGCGCTCCTGCCCGAGGTACGAGTTAAACTGGTTGTATATTCAATGATAGAATTTCGTCTGCGAGATGTAATCGGCAGGAGCCTCCTGCGGTCAATTAAGCCCGAGGAGGAAGGTCCTCATATTTTATTTCCTCCTCCGATCGCTGAATAATATTCCAGACTCTCGCCCGAGATCGGCGGAAACATTAACCGAGTGCTCTGCATTTAATTACCTCGATCTAATAACCCAACATAGGTGTTTAGAATCGCTCGGGAGCATCTCAGCCGATTTCTCGGCGAGCTAGTTCACCTTAACAATTTTCCGAGATGGACATTTTCTGAGAGAAACTCTCCCTTACGTGGAAATGATAACCGAAGGCTGGTAACTCGGTCTTGGAGGCGATTTTTCTTAGCGATTATTAAACCACTCGGTTAAGGTCTTTCCGGGCCTCCTCGAGGCCGCTCGATGGTCGGTCGATACTCGATCGACGTGCGAATTGGCGGAGGAACCTTCTGGGGGAGAAACGACGGGCTGAAAGGATGGTACGGGGTTATCCACCTGGCGACCTTGCTACTTGAAAAATAAAAGTCTCCGCGAGTCCGTCGCTCGCCCCGCGGCGAACTACGCCAGTTCCGTCCAAGAGCGCGCAAGACCAACACTAATCCTCGGAGAGCATAGTTTGTCCAAGCTAAAGTTGAGACCAACACTAAACTCGAGAGGGCTCGGCCTGTTCTCGAGTCTCATTCGGCTTGTTTCGAGTTTTAAGCACTCGCGACTAATGTGAGCGACACACCGCCCGCAGAGACAGAGAGAAGATGAAGAGCTTCCCGAAGTTGGGGGCCGCCTTTTGGGTGGCGCTTCTGCAAGGTACATGTACCCAAACCGACTCAAAACCCATGAATGGATTTAACTCACCCCCCGGGGTTTACCTGGCCCTAATTAATCAGACTCCTGAATAAGAAATTCAGGATCAGCCAATTTCACGGTGTGAATTTTTTAAACGATTTCTTAGAGGCTTAAGGGGACACGAAAGGTTCACCCAAGGAACCTCGTTTATGAAACCTCTTCGACCTGGGTGTACCTAATCGTTTCAAAGTTTGCGTTGTAAAATATAAAATGATTCGGTGCAATTAGTTGGGAGGTAAGTTTCATAGACGAGACTCGTCAGATGGCCAGGAATTTCGCGGCAAGAATTTATCTCATATCCCCTTAAATGATAAAAGTAGGAGAAGGATTGATTCAAACTAGTGTTTTTTTACTGACATGGGCTTTCTGACAAAGTGGCTGCTGCCTTGGTGCAAGGATCGGGATATGGACAGCCTGATTATGGGACTTGGGTGCATCCAGCTCCAACTTCCGTCAGGCCAGTTGACGTCATGTCGGATGTCGTCAACGATCTGGGCATCAGGATTCTGCAGCAGTACGTTGACGAGGGAAACGTGGCGTTTTCTCCGGCAGGGATCGGATTCGTTTTGGCAGCCCTTTACGAGGGTTCTTCAGGAAGAGGGAGCCAGCAGATCGCGGTTGCCCTGGGGTTGCCGAGAGACCGAGATGTCACCAGGATAGGGTTAAGGGACATCCATCGAAGGCTCAGAGTGAGTTGAACAGAAATGTATTTCTGAAGCCTAGGAGTAATCGAGTAGGATGACTGAGGGCATTTTTGTTGAAGAGCTACATCAACGCCGACGGCTTTCTGGGCGGACTGACGTTGAATCGAGAGAACACGAAGCTGCGTCCAGTTTACGAGGATATCCTCAGGTTTTATGGATTCGACTTCACAGACGACCAAGTTGAGACGAACGCAACGACTCCAAACCCTGGAGGTACCACGACATCGACCGATGATGGAAACCCAATGAGCACTGTACAGCCACTTGCTCCCGAAACGACAACGATGTCGAGTACCGAAGCGATGCCTGCAGATCCAGGTTCAGCTGATGAGGACGAAGATGATGGAACATCGACCGAAGATCCTGAGGATGTGCAACCTGAAGAAAATCCAGAAAATCCAGTGCCTCCACCTGACGTCGAGATCCTTCGAAAAGCTCCTACTACTGTGGACCCTACTCAAAGATTAACAAACATGGCGACGGATACGACGACGAATCCTCCAACCAGCACCAGGGTCATGGACGGTGCAACGGAAGCTTCTTCGTCATCTCCGATGGAACTGACCACAACCACAAGTTCTCCGATAACGACTTCAGGGCCATCGGTTAGAGTAGCGACAACGATCTCTGAAATGGACTTGGAAATGTCCACTGTTTCCGTTGACACCCTGAATCAATCCACGACTTCGGAGGCTTCTTCGTCTTCGCCAATGGAACAGACCACAACCACAAGTTCTCCGATAACGACTTCAGGGCCATCGGTTAGAATAGTCACAACGATCTCTGAAATGGATTTGGAAATGTCTACTGCTTCAGTTAATACAGTGACGAGTGAATCCACCAGTTCGATGACAGAGCAAACGATTTCAGGATCTGATGGTCCTGACTCTGGTACAATAGTTGCTGGGTTGACAAGGATGGCTTCTCCCGGTACTACCGTGATTTCGGAAACGACCACGGTTCGATCAGGTGATGGTACGACACTGGGAAGTACGGAAATTCCAACAATCACTCCTGGGGTCCGATCTTCGGAAATAGTGGTGAACACAGTGACTCCTATTTCGACGACCCAGAAGCCGGTGGAAATCTCGACTATTCTGGAAAATACGGAGGCTGTGACCGTGAAAAGTCTGGCTATGTCGCCGAGTATGGAAATGAGGATGGATACGACTCTTGAGGATGGAGTGGCTTCGACTTTGGGTCCAACTTCCACATCTCGGAGTGCATCCACGACTATAACTTCTACCTCAGGGACTGAAAATGGTTTAAACCCTACGGAACCAGCCACAACTACAGAAGATCCCGTGATGAGGTCTCTTCTAGGAGGGAGTACAGTTCAGGGTACGACTCTACGACCTGAAACGAGGGGAGCTGCTGGAGGAGGTCGAGCTGGAGAGACTACGACTGTTGCTAGTGATGGTACTACGATAGAAAATAATAGTACCAGGATGATAAGTGATGGTACCACTGTGGATAGAACTGGTACCATGATGGAAGTTATTAGTACGACCATGGAAACCATCGGTACCACCACGGAAACCACTGGTACCACCATGGAAACCATCGGTACCACCACGGGAACCATCGGTACCACCACGGGAACCACCGGTACCACCATGGAAGCCACCACTACCACCATGGAAACTACTGGTACCACCACGGAAACCACTGGTACCACCACGGAAACCACCGGTACCACAACGGTACCAACCACTCGGACTGACAGTGCGAACCAACCTCGCAAACGATCAGCCAGAAGCCCTAGGGGATACTTCTCTAACTATCCAGGTAACACTCTTAGTCGATTTTAGATTTCCATCTTGCGAAACAACAATAACACCGATAAGCGTTCGCGTTCGTTGTGAATTTGGAGGCTGCAAGCTATGAACAAATTTTTTACTCACGCCCCCTTAAAGAAAGAAACTCTTGTTTCAGACGACGGCTTCTGGATGCAGGATCTGGGAATCTGGAGGTCCTATGCTCCTGGAACCGGTGATGGTGTCGTCAGGGACTCCACCGAGATGATGTTCCTGGTCGACGGCTGCGACGTTACACCAGTCACAGCAGCTACTTACACGGCTCTTTTGCCTTTCGCATACTTGCCCTCTTTGCAGGCCCTAGCCCTGGAATTTCCCCTCGACGTTAGTTTTCACATCTCTCAACTTATTTCCATTTGCTCATCTGCAATTAAAAACATGCTCACCCACTGAAAAAAAAGGAAAAAAAGAATTACATCGAGCCAGAGAAATTTGAATTCTGATGGCAAAGAAATATTTTGTTAATTCAAAGAATCCCAACGAAATAAGCGGCTCTTTTTTTCTGTCTCTCGAAGGATCCTCGCTACAATATCCTCCTTCTTTTGCCGACCGAGAGGGCCGATGCTCGTCGCCTTGCTGCAGACCTCAGCTCGAAGACCTTGAGACTTATCAGACAAGAACTTCAACCTTGCTGGGTCAGAGCAACCATACCCTCCTTTACATTGCGGGGTTTCGTCACTTTGACGCCATTTTTGCAGAGGGTGAGTGTTTTGAAATCTTGAAATCTTCAAATTTCAGACCTTTTCTCGAATGTTTTAGTTCCCTCCTTCACAGATATCATTTTAATCACAGATGGGAATCAGGGACGTTTTCGAACCCAGACTCGCCGACCTGTCTCTGATGACTCCTGATCTTGGCGTGTATGCAAGAGATGTGCAACAAAGTATCGGCGTTAACATTAGGAATTACATGCAGCCAGACAGAACGCACTCTCGTGAGTCGATTTACGCCGAGCCTCCGTTAATAGTTCCTCCAAGGCGGGACTTTTATCGATATCTTCGACCAGGTTTCCCTTCTTTCTTGATTATCTTCGCTTTCCGCACGAAAGAAATCACACAACCATCCTGAGAAGAAAAAAAATTAACTAATGAACTCAAATGAATTGTCACCACTCCGAAGAAATGTCCCGTCCAATTCATTCGAGTTCGTTTGAGGGAAATAATTAACCGAATATTTCGTTGGTACTATTCAAGGGAATACTTCTCTGATTCAATGGCATTTGTTTCTTTCAGTGTTTCCCTTCTTGCAATGTATATTTCTTCGTTTCTATTTTTTCTCAGGAAATGGGGAGGTTTTTTCTTACGCTTCATCTGCACCATTGTTTCATTCTGGCACCAGCACTGCACCTGATTGCTTCTTGATCGCTTAAGTTATCTTTAATTTCTTTTTTTTCGTCACTCTTGATTTTCACGAGGAAAACCGTCGGATAATGTCGCTCGGAACTTGAGGTCGTTAAACGGAATTACGAATTAACGTTGGCGGCTCTAAGTGCGCGAAACTGCTCATTACGAAGTGCCACTCGAGGACGAATGTAATTTCCTTAACCTTACGTTCCATCGTCTTTGGTAATGCTCATTGTCAGTCGGAATCACCTGGTCTCGTCTTAACGGTTCCAGCTCCACTTCCCCTAGTTAAGAAAATTTCCCGTGGTTTCCGCAATTACCCTAGGAAGTCATTTCTCCGCGGAAACGGCGCGGAATCTCGAGCGAGACGAGACCTCGATGATTTTTCGCGTCTATCCAAGGTCGGCGACAAACCTTCGGTGGACCTTGAAGACGTCCTCGTTAAACGTTTTTTGCCACTTTGACTCTCGACTTAACCTTCGGAAATTCTAAACTCGCGGTAATCAGCGAAGCTCCGATTCCAAACGACGTAAGAAAAGAAACCAGAGAAGCATTGGGAATATTCCGCAATTGATTTGCAACGTATCTTCGAAATTCCGACAATTTCTATGAGTTCATTTGAGTGAAATAATTTAATTCTTGAATTAACAAAATATTTCTTTGATCCAAGGAATTTCTTTTTCTTTTTCTTTTCTCATCGTAGCTTTCGATAGAAAATCTCGAGATTTCTGCATCAAGCCTTTCCCTCGACTCTGGCGGCACTTAGCACGAGCCGTTTATTATAATTGGAAGCTGGCTAGGGTACGGATCGTTATTGGGAATTTTCTCAGTATTGTTATAAACTTTGCTCAATTTAACGACTGATATCCTGCGTGAGTCAGCCCGAAGAAACCGAGGAGGCCTTGCGAGAGTCCCGCTTCGGGGCTTGCCGAGATTCCCTGAGTAGTTGCGAGGTAAAGTCGGACCTTTTACTCCGACTTCACCGAGGCACTTGTTGCAGAGTAAATAAGTCATTGTCTGAGAAACCGCGAGATAATCCTAGAAAAAAATCGACACGATGAATCGATGCGAAAGTGCCGCCAAAGAAGTGTCTCGTCCGTGAAAAGTTTGACCAACGATTGACCCTTCCTCCACTTCCACGTCCCCTTAAGACCTTCAAGAGGTAATTATTCCTTCCACGTGGTATTCGAAAAATCGCTGATCTCACGTCCGAGTGATGCATCTCCACTCGATGGAACCATAAGAAGCTCCTGAGTCGACGTTTTGTAAACGAGTCATCAGAGAGCTGACCTCCCGACCTCATTTGCACGACTGACTGCAGTTAGGGCGCTGTAACAGGCGTTCACTTATGCGCACCACGTGGTTTCTGGGTTGATTTGCATGTATACGGTGATTAATGTAATAACAGTGATAAGGGGGCCGTAGGATTACATGCCCACCGCGTTTAAGGCTGATAACAAGCCAGGGTCCCGTTGCCGGTGAACAATTGCAGACCTTCACGGCAGTCGTTTTCCCGTTCACCAGACTGGGGTTTTTTCCTTTTCCCGGCGCTTTTTCATTAACCTTTTCATTTTCAGGAAACGGGCTCTTCGAGAGAGCAGGTCCGGTGTCCTTCACGGCGGAGCATCCGTTTTTGTTCTTTATCGTGGACGCGCAGACATCGGTGGCTCTAATCGCAGGAAGAATCGACGATCCATTAAATTCGAGGATCCTCTGAAGACTTTCCCCATCTTTCCGATATCCTCTTCTAAAGGAATACCTAATTTTGCGAGAGGTTAATCACTCAAAAAATCACTGAAAAGTTGACAATTTTACGGCATCTATCCCCTGTTACTTAATCCCATTGTCGTTAATCGTACGGAATCAAAATCAATCGATTCTCAACGTAGGAAATCATTTCCACTGATTTCCGAGTGAATACCCCCTCGTAATTTTGTAAAAAGAAACGTCCCCTCCCGCCAATAACATGGAGTGACATTAATTATTGCATATTTATTTGACAGGGCTTATCGAGTATCAGCTCCATAGACTATAAACAATTGTATTTATATCCTGCTAGGCTTGCCTTTAGTTGAAAACCGTACGCATATCTACCGGCGAGTATACATGTACGTTGTGCTCTGTACAGATCTGTGTATATAAAAAATATATATATATCTATGTATTTTAATCGCGTGTCGATCTGCGGGGGGTCCGTGCCATCAGTCGGGAAGAGCTGGGAAATCGACCCTGAAGAGAGTCTACAAGAAAGGGATGCGTCATTGAGACCTTCGTGGGGGGTCGGGCAAGAGTTCAGCATTTACACACCTTGCTATACAATAAGGGGAATTATTTATATATATATATAATTTAATATATATATATATTAGCGCGTCCGCGTTTCTTCGAGCCGGGAGTCGCGCCGAGCGCCGGCTTCGCCTCTTCAGGAATATATTATCTCATTTCACTCGTATTTATTTATATATTTATAGTTATGTATATATATATTTATATAAATACAGCAGGCGCCACGGATCGCGTCTCCCGTGGGCCGGATAAATTATGCGACTCGGATTCGTCGAGGACTTTTCGGGATTTTCTCAAGATGGTACCTCGAACTCGAAGAAGGGCCCACTTCCGGTACCGTTCTTCCGGTTCTCCGGTTAGAAATCGCTCCTCTTTTCAGCGGCCTCGAGTTTCTGGACCCAGGACTCGTCCCTTGGGTGACTTAAATTATTTTAAAAATAAAGCGCTCGATGCTATCAGTCCATTGCGCATCTCTTCAAGATCCCTCGACATGGACTCTTCGAGTCGTCGTCGAGTTTGGATCCCTTGATCATTTCTGAGCATCATCGATCGCTCGACACGTTCTCAGTCACTCGGTATGTACGTTCAAGTAGGTACCGGGATCGATTTGGTATTGACTCGCCTCTTCAGCGTGAAGAGGAAGAGGTAAGGAGGGGATCTAGAAGTTCGTTGATTTCCGGAAATCGGGAGAGCCAAGATGGCCAGTCGGCCTCGGACTCTCGAGGAACTCTTCCTTGGTAAGCTCAGGTGACGTTCTTCAGGATCCAGGGGACGAATTTCGAGATCCTTGTGCAGACTCCTGGGAGGTTCGCCTCGGCGCATCCGATGCCCCAGGATATGATCCCCGCCAGGAAGTACCGGCCGTCCTTCCCTCGGACCTGAAGAGGACCTCCGGAGTCCCCCTGGAAAGATTCGGTATTAACGATCTCGTTAAACCCGGAAAAAGGATGTCGATCGGGTAACTCACCTGGCACGAGTCCTGACCTCCGGTCTCGTATCCTGCGCAGAGGAAGATGTCGGGGATGAACTCGTGCCTCCCAGCCCTGAGGAACATGGACTTGCATCTGTCGTTGCTGACAATGGGCACGGAGACCTTGAAGAAAGTGGTTCATCTTATTTTTTATCCCCCTTCTCTCTTATCCTCTTATCAGACTATTTTCCGAGGGATCGTTCGGGGAAATCATGGATATTAATTCTCGAGATCACGTGAAAATGAACTGGAAATCTTAAGCGGAAATCAAAGGCAGTCGGTACACGATGAAAAATCGTTATCACTGATTTCCGAGTGAATAGTCCCTCGCTGTTCTCTCGAAGATTCGGAGGACAAGACCCTGAAGAGCATACCTCCTGGAGTACCGAGGGCAAGATGCCACCCTCGCTGAGTCGGCCCCACCCTGTGACGGTGGCGTTCTCTCCTATCAAGAGGTCGTCAGACGCTGGCAAGCATATCGGCGATATGTGGGGGGCAAAGGTTAGAGAGCTCTCCAGGCGCACCAGGGCGAGGTCGTACTCGTAGGTGAAGAAGTTGTACTTAGGGTGCACCACCTTCTTCGCGACGGCGCGCTCCACAAAAGGCAGACGCTCTTGCACCGACGAGAAATCGTACTCGCCCACTCGGATGCGGATTTGGGAGGTCAGCAAACTACCGAGAACAAATCACTGTCATCATCTTCGTGGTAATGGTTTGATGAACGAGACCTCTCGCGTGGCCTTAAGGGGATGTGAAAGTGGCATCCGAAAGCTCAATCGTTCATAAAACTTTTCATAGAACTGGGTGCCTCAAATCGTTTCATACTTTAACACGTGAATATGGAGACCCTAAGGTAGGTCCTGAAATGTATCACACTTTGATGTCACCTTAAATAAATGTCTGAAAAACATACTCGTCGACGCAGTGTCCGGCAGTGGCGATCCAGTTCTCGTTCAAGACGGCGCCACCGCATCGATGAGTGCTGGAGAACCCGAAGAAGGAGGTCCTCCTGACGGACACCTGCCAAGGCCACCGTCCAAAAGGAGCATCCTTGCCCCCGACGATCCTGGTTTCCGGCCTCGGGAAAAGTGGAGGAATACCACACTGCATGTTCTTGCTTTCGGTAGCTGCAGAAACGGTGGACACCGAGCCGAGTTTGGAGACGATCCCTGCAGCATCCTCGGCACCAGAAGTGCTGATGGATGAGGCAGTCGTGGTCGGCGGTCGGGAGGTAGTCGTCGTGGTCGTCGTCGTAGTAGTAGTCGTGGTGGAGGTCGTGGTGCTCTTCGTGGGCCTCGGCTTGGTCGAGGTCTCGACATACGAGGTCGTGATGTAGTGGGCGGACCCGATGGGTTTATGGTAGTCTGGATTCTAGAACAAAAAGGGACTCGTAAGAACGAAAGAAAAATAGATATCCCTTGAGGAACTCGTCCAGATCCGAAATGGACTCGGTAAGAAGTGTCGGTGAACCAGAGATCGGTACCGCATCGCCCTGGATAATGTATTTCGAGAGGGTCCCTCGTTTCTCCTCAAAGATCAATTTACTCCCAGGGAGCGAGAGATCTACGATCACGATCCTTCTTAAATCTCATCGCTCGGATCTCGGTCGACGTGAAAGCGCCTTAAGTCCCCATTGTTTCCTTCCCTATTGTTACGAAAGGCAGCAGCCATTATGTGCCGGGCAAACGTTGATGGTTTTCGACGACACCCACGCGGTTAATTCATCCGTCGTCGTCTCGGGGTCGGCCTCTAGGCCTCGAGAGTTAACCAGGGAAGTGGAACGACCCGGCGACCGGGAGAGCGAGTCGAAATCTAAATTGGTTTTGCACCGCAGCCCTGTCTAGGTGGCGAACCCAAGAGCTAACAAGAAACCGATTGCCATCCCGAGTGAAATTGGAAAGCACCGCGATGATAGAGTGCCGATCGCCAACGGAGTCTTCCAGGGCGGACGCTGCGTCGATGTCGATCAAGGCCAACGAGAGCGCACTTTTTGCGGCTACTGGGTTCACTGGAACGTGCGAGGTTTCCCGTGAAGCTCTCAGAGATCCGCTGGACCAAGAAGAGCCTGATCCCGGGGGATCTCGACCCTCTCCAGGAGCAATCGACTATCGAAACCGGTAACCATCCCAGGGGAAACGGGAGAGCCCTACAACGATGCGGTACCAATCCCTAATGGGCTCCAAAGGGGATGTGAAACTGGCATCCGAGTTGTCAATCGTCTTTGCGCACCCCTTTCGAGGGAAGGTTCATGAGCGATTGACTCCTCGGAAGGCACTTTCACATCCCCTTAATGTCAATCAGGGCCAACGAGGGCGTACTTCTTGCGGCTCCGTGGTCGGCTTGAAACCCGTCCGCTGCGGGAAGCTCTCGGGTCCGTTTTGCATCAGGCTGGGGTTGTCCATCCAGTGGGGCTTGATCGAAGGCCTGGGCGGGGTCCAGCTGTTCTCCGACCAGAAGTAGGAGCCGCCAGGTCTGGTGCTCTCCGGAAGACTCGTCGGCTTCGTGGACGAAGGTCTGTGCTTCGTTATGAAGGCTGGCTCCGTTGTTACTTGCCAATGGGCGGTCTGCGCCAAGGATCCGGCTGCGCTACAATGAAAAGAACCTTTAAGCGCCGCTCATCGACCTAGGACCCGATTCTGAAATCCCTGCGGATGTGTTCCGCACAAGATTCGCATTGACATACCTGGTCATCAGTTGCCCACTATAGTACGAGGGTTTGGGGGTCGTAGATGCTTTCGTGGGCGAGCTGGAGCTGTCCGGCTTGGAGACGAAACTGGGTCTGGTGTCCACCATCACTCCGACAGAAATGGGCCTGTGGGTAGAGATAAACGGATCCAAGTCAATACCAGTGTTCCCTCGATGCATATATCTTGATACCAGCCACTCGTGGCATCGATACCATCAGCCTCGATACTTGGCATCGGTGAAAAGTACTCATATCGAAGCTGATGAACTGACTGAAGAGGTATTTTCTGAGCCGTTTGCGCATACACTGAAGAAATAAAAGTACGGATGTATCGATGATATCGATTAATTCCTACCTGTAAGTAGTCGTCTTGACCGCGAAGTACGGCTTGGAGTAGTCGGTGGATGGCTTATTGGCCACCGCTGGTTTCGTCGACCACTGTAAGAATGATTTACAGTGTCCCAAGAGTCCTTCTAGACGTTTCAACATCCTCGATCAACGAGTCAACTTACGTTTTCCGAGACGGAATTGACGTTAGGCCGATGCATGGTCTCCTGCACGGTGAGGTCGGCCTCCTTGGACTCGCCGTCTTCAGGGCGCGACTCGAAGGGCCTTTGACTATAAGATGGACGCTGACCAAGTTGCTGCCCCTTGTTGGAGCTCTGGTTCTTGGTCGGCAGCCTGACGACCAAGGTATTGTGCGCATCCTCGACCTTGTCCTTGAAGCTCTGGTGGCCCATCGCCCCCTGAAGAGGAAGAGTACCCGAAGACGACTTATCGGTGTCCTCGGGCCTGGTCTTCATCAAATAATGGTGGCTCTGAGAGTCCTGACTCCCATGGCCCTTCCCGGGACCATCTTCCCAGGAGCTGGAGGCGTGTTCCGGGATCTTCGAGGTCTGGACCCTATCCTCCTGGTCCGACGACGGTTTCAGGTGCGGCCTCTTCTGCAAGGGTCTACCGGACCCGCTCGAAAGCGGCTTTAGGGGTCTCGTTGAACCCGCCACCTGGCTGTACGACCCTGAAGTGTGCAACCCCGGCTTCGAGGAGCCCGCCGACTGCTGGGGGAACTTCAAAGGCGGCCTTGACGAGCTCGACGATTGGGTGGAGTGACTCGTCGGCCTCGACGTCGACGACTGATGGGAGGAACTCGAAGGCCTCAAGGTTGGACCCAGGGAAGAGGTCGACTGATGGGCTGGACTCGTCGATTGCGACGGCGAGGAGCTGGAGGGTGGCCGAGAAAAGCCGGGCCTTGGGGAAGATGGAGAACTCGGAGAACTTGGGTACCCTGAAGACTGCTGCGAAATCGTCGCCAGGGATGTCAGGGTCGGCCTGGTGGGCCCGTTGGCCAGGGCATCGGCTAACGAAGGCCTTGGCGTGTTTGGAGAGGACGGTTGATGGGAATTTATGCTGTTAGTCGTGGAATTGTGCACGCAGCAGCTTCCGAACATGAAGGTGTCCACGCAAACGCCCACGTGGACTCCCTCGGACTTGATGCACTCCCATACGAACATGCACGTACCCTCGGTGATCTCCGGGCCTGGAATTCTGCAGGGCTTCGGACTGATCTTGTAACCTGGGGAGCCGACATCTTTAGTGCAACGCAAGCCTCCTACGACGCATTTCCGAATGCAGGACACCCTGGGATAGCCAAACGCCACGAAAGCCGCCCTGAATACGCAAGCGCGATTCGCTTTCTTCGAGTACTCTCGATTTCGCTCTAAAAGAGGAGCTGGAATCCTGGCCAGAGACCACTTCTCACGACTCGAGGACGACCTAATGCACCTCGACCTTAGGGCTCGTTTCCAAGTGCCAGAATTTCTGGAGGCCTCCAAGAGGGTCCCACGTGAGAAACAGTAAAAATCTGAGCAGAGAGCCCGATATACTCACTGTGGCCTCGATTCAGCGAGCTCAAGGACCTGGCGATGCCCGACCACCAGAGGATTGTCGCCACGTATCCGATCCACCGCATCCTGATCCCTGTGGGCAGAAAAGAGCAGGGGTGAAATTAGATCAAACGGGTAAAAGTCGTACCTGAAGAGGTGTGCGAGATTTCTCCTCGCGGAATACCATCTTTACGGGCTCGCATATTCCCGGTGTCGTCTCTAAGCGCTTCTCCTCTCGGAGGATAATCGTCGAATTTATTGCATCCGAGGGGCCTGGTTAAGTCTGGACCAGAGCTCCCCCTTGCAGGGGAGATAGGCTTCTAATTAACCACCTGTCCGAGTGAAACTTTACAGTCGAGGCCTCGGAGAGGCACTCCCTTCGTTTTCGCCGCACTCAATTGGGTCGCTCTTCAGGGCGCTCTTCAGGGTGTTCTTCGGGGTGTTCCTCGGGCCCGCCAGCTCGAAGCGGTCGCTTTTCACCCGGCGCTTAAAAAACCTTAAGGCCGGAGTAAAAGTCGCGTTAAAGTAAGAACCGAGCCCGGCGAGTCGTGCACGCCTTTATTATCTTCGCTTTATCGTCTATATAAAACCTATACGCGATATTAACTGCCCGCCACGTCCGGGCAGCTTTTCAATGAGCAATGAGAAATTACTACGAGGCGGTCTCGTAAAACGAGGGGAGCCCTCGGACCTTATGAGATCCTCTTCGGCATCGCCGACTATAATTTCAAGTCCTCTCTCCCCTGAGATCCCTAGGCCTCCTAATCGCAGGAAAAGGACTCGCGGCTCTAACCAGGAATTCCATTTGTTTAAAAAAATTTCAACAATTGAATATGCACCAGCGAAATATTTATCCGGGAACATTTCCGTCACTTTCAGAACTTACCACCGATTAGGTTGCTGAAGTTAGGGAAATTCTAGGCGTGGTTGGGATAATCCTTCCTAGCGACGATGAACTCGATATCCCTCGTTTTATCGAGGAGGATGAGGAAGTGCATTTTTTTTTTACTTTTGCTGGAATTTCATTTATTAATTTCGCGTTCAGGTTTTTTTAGGAAGCTTCCCTATGGCCACGGAAGTGCTCTTCAGGTTCGCCCATGAATTCTGTTTAGCAGATCGGTGCGAATTCAGGGTCCCACGAGAGGGAATGTCGCGGGTCATGAAGCACGTACCGTACGTGCAATGCATTGCGCGCACTTATTATCAACCCGTGGAGGAAGTTCGAGCGAGTACACGGCAACGCACGTGCGTGCACGTGGGTGCACGCGTTGCGTCTCTTCGGGGTCTGCCGCTTTACGATACCGCCGGGACGTGCATATTAATCATCGTTAAAGAAGCCCTCAAATATACGGTGAATGTATTTCAAAATTATATTTTTCAGATTCCGATAAACGTTGCGTTCAATTTATGGGAGTTTATCTTAGTCAAGTTATTCTTTGTATTAACGAAATATTTCTCTAGTTCAATGAACGTTTTTCTTTTCTCTCGGGGCGACAATGCGAAAACCGTGTCGCGTGCTTATCAGCGTGTCCCGCGATTCCGCGGGACACGCTGATAAGGAGGTGCGTGCACGGTCACGCGTGGATTCTCGGCCACGGCGACACGGCCGGCTGGCCCTGACGATCGTGGAAAGTGACGGAACATCCGTGCCGACTCGCCGCGACTTTCTGAATACGATTGTTCCCGATTCGACGTCTCTCCAGAGATCGATGGGATGCTGGGGGTGCAGTTCCGCCCGCGAGAAAGAAATACCTTATCAATCCTACGCCGGCTTTCCCCGGCTTGATAAGCGCAGAAAACTAGTCCGGTCCATTTACCGAGATCATTCGATCGGCTGCATTCGGATAATTTCAGAAAATCGTCGAGCGAACCGAATTTCCACATTTTCCTCGGTGCGTCAAGGAAGATCGCCGTGGACCACCTCCAGCATCCCGATTCCACTTAAAGAATCTAATCAAGGCATGTAGAGATAATGTTCATGCAGGAGCCAGTACTCCGATAAGGAGGCTTATCGAGGGATCCTCGGTCTCGTCTCGATCTCGATCTCTGGTTTCCGGGGTTTCTCTTCAGGGCCGAAATTCCGGGATGATGCACTCGATTCCTGGCCGAGCCGAATTCTGGTCGCACATACTGGGTCAGTATCGACGGGCGAGGTGCATTTCAAGGAGAGAGACAAGCGCATTCGAGGAAAGAGTCCCGGTGGGAGGGACACCTCTGGGGAGAGAATATTTGGGGAGAAAGGTCCGAGAAGATATCCAGGCCGCGTCCTGGGGCTCTCGAAACCGCAAGTCGATTTCGATGCTCGATCGCCTCCAGAAGGGCCGGAGATTTCCTCCTGCCGTGTTATTTCTCTTCCCTCTCTCTGTGCCCTCCTCCTTCCCGAAACCACTGGCCTCCGAAGAAAATTAGCGAACTCGATTTGCCGTCTCGAGGCCGGCAAGAAATAAAAGAGATACAGATAAGAGGAAGAAGAAGAGACACCGCCGGTCCCGCCGCGCCGAACTGGGTTAGCCTTAAGGTGTTATAAAAAGGTCATGGCAAGTTTTATAGATATTTTCACGCCTTACATATATAGAGTGACCCTTTCGTATCATAACTGCAGGCCGTGAGATTAATTGAAATTTTCCCAAATGATACCGCTAAAATGAAGTATCCTCTAGGAGTTCTAATAAGTCGTTCCATTTATCGCGTTCCGAGCTGGCAGCAATCGAGGTCTGGATCGGGTATATCGCATAACGTCTCAATGTTCCCGATATAGGTGCTCGACAGGCCAAAGGAGATCCGCTAGCGAGAAGAGAAGAAGAGAAGACCTCTCTCGGCGCGGCCGAGAACTGGGACGTGTCTCGGGTTACCCCTGCGTGCGTGTCTCCCACGTGGAGTGTGCTCGCCTCGGCAAAAAGTGACACATATTTGCGGGAGTTCTCGGAGAGAGACGGAGAAACAAAGAACGAGGAAGAAAGGTGAGTTATTCGCGTTCCTTAACGACATGGAACTCGGTCTACCGTGAATCCGAAGAGTACATAAAATCGGACCGAGTACCTATACCGGAGGTGTAAAAATTTATTGCGTGCCGTAAGAGTATCCGAAAGCGTTGATAAGAATATTGGGGAGCGGGGAAAAGAGATAAGAAAAGGCTTAAAAAATCGGGGACGCACGGGAGGTCTTGAAATTGCAGGCTCCTTTCTCTAGGCAACAGAATTTCATTAGAGCTCTCTCGGTGCTCGGCGCTCCGGTAACAGTACGATCTGTATTTCGTAGTCTATTTACTCGTGTCGGGGATCGGATGCCGGAGCTCCAGGTCGCTCCTTTAACGGTCGCCACCGACGTGCTCCTTCGGCAACCGGCACTAAATAGTCACTTCCCGTGGACCGCGGGCTTCTTCGCGGCTCCGGAGGACGTAAACGCGCCCGTAACCGCGATACCTATCCCATCCATCCAATCCCGCACAGGGGTACCGGGCACCGGTAATACCTGCACACCGGTACCTGGCCGCCTTCGACGCCGATCACGGCCTCCAAGGAAGGCAAAAACCCGAGGGAGCCTCCGACGCTCGCGGAAATCCACTCCGACTTCGGAAAATCAGACTGGGAACGCGCTTTTCCGGACCCCCTCGAATATCTCTGTAACAGCGTTCATTGAACCAAAGAAATATGGTACCGAGAGATACATTGTCAATTCGAAGAATAATTATTTTTCCAGAATTAAT